AATTTCTCAAGAATTTCCTTCGTCTAGGAAAATATATCGTTTTAACTATATTAATCATCTCCCTCGTTACGTTAATTACTTCCTAGTGTCGTGTTGCATACGCAGCTTTCCTCTCTTCATCAATTAACTTCTTTCAAATGCTCATCTTCTACATTTTTCCTTCTACATTGCATTTTCTAAAGGATCATTTAAAAATTCATAACAAAACTATTAATCCGGCAGATTTCTTAAGCGAATATCAATTTTCCTATCGAATCTAGTTTTTGAGAAAAGTACACCAATTCTTCCACCGAATTCCTTTCGATCGATCGAGGTTCTCGATGAGTCGTGAGACGTTTCAATTCGTTGATCGTGGCACGCTGTCGATATCTTTACGAGAGAGGACAAGCCGAAGAGAAAAAGCGGGAATCTCGTTTCGGCCTTCGTTGGAATTCGAGTAATGCGGTCGAAGTAAGGTTTCGTTCTCTGCGCCAGCATCGGGAGCCGGCACTACTTCCGAAGCCATTCTCGCGATTCCTGCCCATGCTTACTGAATCCAATAAGACTAGTCTCGGAAAATTTCTCCGGTTAGACGTCATTGGAAAAAGGAGGAGACCTTGTGGTTCTTTAGCCGATACTATATACTTATCCGTTTCCAACCACGATTACCCGCAGTCACACGATTCTTTCGTCGCCTGTTGCCCTTATTATTCCTTTACGCATCTTCTTAATCACATTTTTTCACAAAGTTTATCGATTTATTCAATAAAATTCTAGATTTTTAAGATTTTTAAACAAAAATTCTTCTTCCACAAATTTATAGAAGGATCTTTAGGTTTTAAAATTCAATAAAATTCTAACAAGATTTTTAAACATAAATTCTTCTTTTACAAATTTATAGAAGGATCTCTAAGTTCTAAAATTCAATAAAATTCTAACAAGATTTTTAAACAAAACTTCTTCTAGATTCTAAAATTCAATAAAATTCTAGCAAGATTTTTAAACAAAAATTCTTCTTAATTTATAGAAGGATCTCTAGGTTCTAAAATTCAATAAAATTCTAGCAATATTTTTAAACAAAAATTCTTCATCTACAAATTTATAGAAGGATCTCTAGATTCTAAAATCTTTATTTATCTTTTTAATCAATTTCACCCGTTCGTAAACTCGACACAACGAAGGATTAAATCTCACACCGCTAAACACACGTTCATTCTAAACTGTACCACGACATAGATATTCATCAATAAATCCAAAACAACTTTTTCAATCGTTTCCAAAGTGGCGCCTCGATACGCAGAGGCGCGAAAAGGTGCGAGTCGTACGTAACGCGTGCGCAATCGAGATTTGTGTCACGAGGGCCGTTTTCCATGTAAGGCACCTATAACGTTGTCCACCCTGGTAATTGTGCCAGCCAAGCAAGTTACGTAACACGCCGTTGTGCCATGCACGAATAATAGGTGCTCTCGTACCTGGCCTTTTGTCGCACAAGCCTCGCACAACCGTTCTACATTGCGCGCCTCTAGGATATTTCCTGTCGTCTTGACGATCTCCCTATGTTGTCCGTATCTGCATATGAAATTGCCATTCTGTTGCCATTCCTCGGGATGCAACTCTGACACTTGATTGCAACACCCGTGACATTTACTGATCGAACGGTGTACATCCAGCTATTTGGTACCTTGCTTTTTCTCTTCCCAGGAATTTTCTGTTTTTTACATTTAATCATCGTGATTTTCCAATGACATTTCCCCAGTGATTTTCCAGTTTTATTATCGAATTTTTTTTTTTAAATTCTTCTCGGACAATATCTTTTCTCGTCTCAAATTTCGTTGAAATTTCTCTCTCTCTCTCTCTCGATAGAAGTAGAAGATTAGAAATAAAGTTTTTCTTCTTTCTTTTCTTTCGTTGAACTCGAACTGCCGGATGTTTAACGAAGTTTATAGATGAAAGGGTTCAGGATTTGTTATTCGATTACGTTTTAATTAAATCGGGTTAAGAGTTTTTCGTTTAAATTACATAGTTTTTCTACGTTTAATTGGTTGCTCAATCAGTTCGCCGAGATCGCAATCGTTTCTATATTTTTCGCAACGCGGGAAACGGAACTTTGAATTGGTATCCGTGAAATGTGGCAAAATGATTGAAACCGAGCGTGTAAACGAGTTTACCTTAACGTCGAGGACCGGATGAATGAATCGTAATTCGATTAGAAAAATCAACGTTCTCGAAGGCATCGGTGAACCGAGCGCATGATTCATATACACGATATTGAATATAATTTATTCACACGTTCTACAGCAATGAGTAATCGGCTCTCGAGTCATTCGTGGCGTTGTGTCACAGATACACTTGAACTCTCCGTGCATTCTTATACACGGTTCTCCACGCGATGCATATCTGATTAAAAGTAAAATTTATCTGGAATAACTGCTACCCACGGCCAATTTGTCATCGAGCGTGATATTTCAAATTTTCTTTCCAACAAAAAAAAAAAAAAAAAAAAAAAAAAAAGACTCGTAACAAAAATGACGTTTATATCTCAATTTCAATTTTGCTGCTACATCAAAGGTGACGCCCATGTAGAGTAATAAGCGATAGCGTATCGTGAATATTATTTATCAAAGGACGAAAGAAAAATTGTTTTAAAAAATTTAAAAAAAAAAATTGAAGAAAGAATTATCGAAGGATCGAAAATTATACCTTCCTTCTTCTATTATTAGATTGGATATGGATTTTTCTATCCTTCTCTTAGTTATAAAGTACAGCCTCTTTTTTGTAATTATGCACGTTAGTATCTGCCCACGATAGAATTACGTTTCGCGTGTTAACAAGAGCTTCTCCTGATTACAAACTGTTTACAAAACGCGATAGCACGACACGTGATTTATAGAATCGCATTGCACACCTAGCGCAAGTGCCGATGCAGATATCTTCACTTTAGGCTAGATACAACCCGTCTTCGAGACGAGTGATATCATTGCAGTTGCATATTTTGCGTTTAATTTATCGATCATCGAAGCAGTTAAATGAGATACGAAACGATGATCGAAGGATTCGAAGAATTCTCAAGGTTTTTACGATTTATTGCCAGAACGAACTTTGTACTTGGGACAAGTAGCCGTCTTTGAACAATGTCTCGAAGAAATAATTGGTCGAAACGCAGTCAAGGTTTTCTATTATTAATCGTGTTTTTACTCGTGTCTATTTTTTTTTTTTTTTTTTTTTTTTTTTTACGTTTATCATTATCAATCTGACTCATCGATCACGTTCTCGAGTTTGATTTTTTCGACTTTGACTTTTCTCCTCTCGAGTCGATATATCATAAAAGTATCAATCATCGTGTCACTTTAGAGGCGCATAAAAAAATATATACGAAAGCGTATACGTGACGAATGTAGAAGAATGCGAATGGAATTATAAACAGCTCGGAAGAAATCGCTTATCGTGGCCAGATAAATCGCGATCAAAATATCAAACATTGTACGAAAAGTAACGCGATATCCTCTCTTATCGATACCCCCAACACACGACAAATAAGTTACAACGGGAATATTTATTTTACAAATAAATTCTCCTTGATCTAACTACTATCCAAGTCGAGACGCATTTCTATCAAACGCACACACCGGTGATTGGAACGCGTGTCGATCCCAGGTCTCGATACAAACCGCGCCTCGTATCGATTCGATCGAACGACCTGTCTCGCGAAACGTTTCTATCCAAACGAGTCTCGATATCGGTTTATTGTCCCTCTCCTTCCCTCCACCCTCGACCACCACACCACGCCACGGTTAATAATCGCGAGCGACGCTTCTCCTCTCCTTTTCCTCCTCCCACGCTCCTCCACGCTTTTCTTCTCACTTTAATTATAATCAACCGATCCTTCGATTACTCAACAAACTATCGTAAACGATTACGCGAATCGATTCATCGATCACCGAAAAAAAAAAAAAAATAAAGGAATTCCTCCTCGTCTAGATCCACGACTAATTGGGGAGGTTTTTCAGGATCTACGTGGTTGGTGAATATTTTTCAGTATGCATTAATTATTATCCTATTGTTTTCTGTTCGTTTTTCCTTTCCTTCTTTTTTTTTTTCTCTCTTTCTCTTTTTTTCAAACGTATGCGCATTCGATTACACCGTCATCTCACCGTTTCCTCTCTTAATTAATTCGCCGGTCTGGCAACGACCTCGTAATTCCATTCCGCGAGCGTGTCTGATGTAACGTGGTTCTGCCACGATAAGAAGCCTTTTATTTCCTCGTCGTGGGCTTAGGGAACAGCGCGGAAAATCACGATCCGTGATCCGTGACGTCGAAAGTTTTACATTTGCGAAACATCGAGACCTTGTATCGAATTAATTACGTATAATTTTGTTTCTGCTTCGTATCATTCTATTTCGTTCCGCCGCATCATCATCCTGGTTAAATGGCTTTGAATTTGATCGACATTAATTAACGCCTTAACGTGTTGAATTAGGATCGGTTCAGATTAAGTCTAGATGATCGATCGTTGTGTGTGCTTTCCTGCTATTTAATATAATTTATTTATTTTTTTATTATTCTTATTATTATTATTATTATTTCATGGAAGACGGAAGATAAGGAATTCTCTTGAAATTTGAAATCTTATCTCGAACGATAATCGAGAAAAAAATCGACATTCGTAGATTAATCTTTATTTCCTCGATCGTTTCACCGTGGCTAATAATCGGAGAGTGTGCGCGCGCGCGCGCGCGCCTCATACCCTCTTCTCCATGACACCATTATCAACGATGCTTCACAAAGGATGTCCGCGATAAGCGGACAACGTCATCGACCGCTTGTCGTGCACTCGAAACTCTTATTCACTGCGATTTCCATAATTTCTCCGCAAAGGAGACTCATCGACCGAGATATCCAATTTTAATATATCCCAAGAGTCAATGAACTTTTATTGTCATTGGAACATACGTCGCGAGTATCAAGCCCGATAATCGAGTGTCACGAGGATAATGATCGAGCGTTTGCTCTCCCGTTCCAGGCACATACCAAAGGCGAAAGCCACCACAATGGCGGAGACGCCGGAACTGAAACGTATCGCGGAGAACACGAAGATTCAAAGCAACGTGAAATATCACGCCGAATTCGAGAAGGCGAAAGGCAAGTTCACCCAGGTTGCGGATGATCCAGAGACCCTGAGAATCAAGCAGAACAGCAAAATTATCTCCAACGTAGCCTATCACGGTGAACTTCAAAAGAAGGCCATCATGGAGCAGAAAAGGACGATGACTGGTGAAAATGGCGAACAGATCGGTGAGTCGAGGCTTGTCCTTTCCTTTATCCGCGTCCTCTTTGTTCCACCATCGCGTATCTCGTCTTAAGTGTTTGCATTCGCTGAATTTGGTGAATGGAAGCTCTTAAATTGTTTCTAACATCATAATGATTACTAATGCTCGTATTGTTTGTGAAATTATTCGAGGTAAACGTGATAACACGGACGAAAGTTTGAAACTTTGAAACTACGTCGAACCTTCTAACGTATTTACATAATCATTCATAAATATCGAGACATTTATGAAAAAAAAGAAATGAAAATTAAGATAAAAATTTTTCTTCCATCCATCCATATTATTATCATTATATTTTTTTTATCGATAAAGCCAATAAACGTCTCGATATTTACTAACAGATATCGTTCTTGATATAACAACATTTAACAAAAAAAAAAAAAATAATGTTCCACTAATCAATAATTTACTTACGTACTGTCACGAACAACTGTATCCTGTTAATATTTTAAACATTTCCTAAATCAACGCTATCTTTCCCATTTTCCTATATTCAAGTTCGATCGATAGATATCGGTGCTAAATATCCTCATAGACGTAAGAAGTAAAGGCTTTCCTCGAATCTCGCCATTTCCTTGAGAAAACCTCTTAATTCCCCGCGAGAGGACTAGTGATCATGATTAGTTGGCGTTGAAAAGCATTGTCGAAAAGCATACCGGCAGCTTGTATATTGTTGGCTCTAGAGTACGTAGAGTACACGGACGGTACGATCGCGCCTGCATCAGGCGTGAACGCGAATCCACCGACCGCTAGAACTGCGAGCTCGCCGGTGCAAAGGACACCAGGTAGGATCGCCGATTACGATCCCCTTAGCGAGGCAAGACCGAGCCCCTATTCCGCCAGGCAAGCGGCCACCACTGTGATCTATACGAGCGACAAGGGACCAGGTAAGTTCTCCTACGTATTACGGAGTAGATTCCTTCCTATTTTCAATTTTCTTTTCTTCCAATTTAACCATTAGCACTTATCGACGAAATTTTATAGTTTTTCTTTCTTTCTTTCTTTTTTTCTTTCTTTCGATTCATTTAAATTTTAAAACGGTGCGCAGAGCGATCCATTTAGATTTGACCTGACCGAATCTCGTGTACGAAAGTGGTGCAGGAGTGGGGATAAGACTCGTGACACGGTAGTGGGGGGAATGGCCTTGAGCGGTCAAGTGACTTCAGACCAGACTCGATGGATAGTCGTAAATTACGCAATCGAGGAGAAATTAACCGATCGAAATAAATGGATCACCCTGTATCACTCTCCGCTCTATTTCTTTCCGCTATTCTGACAGTGAACCGATACTTAAATGCAATTGGAATATACCCTCCCCTTGTTTCGCGTACCATATGGGTTGGCCATTCGTTGCGCAACCGGCAATAGTTAGTTTCAATAGATCGCCATTTAATTGGATTAGTTGGAACGATAGATAAATACGATTCGGTCACTCCTATTGTAAACGTCAACCATTATCTTTTCGAGGGACGTCACGACGAATTTATGATCGTTCCATCCTGAAAACAAACCCGCTTCTTGAACGTTTAACGCCGAATTGACTATCATATTTTTGTGCCACGTTTGTAATCGAGAAATATGTTGTGGTTAATGGTGACTGGTCAAACGATTTTTAAATTTTTTTTTTTTCCTTTTTAATTGTGCAAGCGTGTGATTTATTTATTTTTATTGTTATGTATAGTATTCACCGATTCCACCGATTCATTCCGAAAAGCTTCCCAATTATTTGTGCACCATGTTATGTATGTTGTACGTGGTTTAAACGTTCATTTGAACATTGTGTTCGACACAATTCACTAACATTGTGGTTTCAAGAAATTATTCTACTCTTCTCTTAACGCTCTTAATTTAAATTTCCTTTTAAGTAAAATCGATGAATCTTTTTAGTAACGAATCCACCTACCAGAAAGATTGGTTCGGTAGCGGATATAGACCCCGTGAACGAATATTACGGATCATTGACGCCAGCAACGAACAACAATCACGTACCACAACATCAACCACCTCCACCACCACCTACCAACGTTGGGGTAAGTTCTATCTCTGATAAAAAATCTAACCAACTTTAATCATCGTTCCTTTTTTATTTTTACTTATTATATTTATTTTATTTTTACTTAATAATAATCCTTCTTCTTCCAGAGAGTGTACAGAGCGATGTACGATTACGAGGCCCAGGATCTCGACGAAGTAAGCTTCTGCGACGGCGATCTGATCGTCAACTGTACGGCCATCGATGAAGGTTGGATGACGGGTCTCGTGCAGCGTACAGGACGACAGGGCATGCTACCAGCGAACTACGTTGAACCGGCGCAGATTTAAACGCCACTTCCTCCTCTTCCCAATCTTCATCGCCTTTGTTTCTAACCAGATCTAACTCGATCGAGGAAACGGTCTGCACGAGGAAGATGACGAGGAAAGGAGAAACCGCGACGAGCTTCGAGAGGAGCACTCGACGACTTCCGGAAAAGGGAGAAACGCCGAGCGAGACTCTTTCCTGTCCGCCGAATTCGCGGCAAACCGAAATTCCTCGCCAGAGGAATCGAGGTGAAATCGAACGATGAAAACGAGCCGATTTCTCGCGACGATACCGCGACGACTATCGTGTATATCTAAAAATAAGTTATGGAATCAAAGATTCTTTGTTACGTCGATCAAAGTGATTCCTTTCGTACGTCGTGTAACATGTTATCCGATAAAAATCGTCGATCTTCCTTCTCGTACGATTTGACGAACGAAAGACTCGATTGAATATTTTTTTTTTTTTTTTTCCTCTCTCGAACGTTGAGAAGACGAAGATGAAATCGTGACGATACAATATGTTCTTTCCGAGTGCCTGCAATCGTTTCGCATTTAAAGTCGATAAATTAGAGGTAATTCCACGTTTGGGACCAAATTTCGATCGCCACTTTTGCGAACTTCACGATAGGTGTTTTTTTTTCCCCTCTCATAATAGCAATTTTATCCGTGATCCAATTTTTTCCACGGCCGACACGGTGTTTCGTGTTCGTCCAACAGTTTTAGCATTTTTTTTTTTTTCGAAATCATTCCGTTGCTGTACGAGGATTCCACGGTAATGATGACTTGATGATTACGCGGTGAAAAAGACTGGAAGACTCGAGGTTCCTCGTTTTTTATGTACTTTATTCGAAACAAGTCGTTGCATGCGTTTTCATTTTTTTTTCTTTTTTTTTTTTTTTTTTTTCTCCCCCTCTTGCTTTTGTAACGGTATACTGTAACACTTTTGTTTTATATCACGTGAACACTTTGCATTTACACGCAGAGATGAACGGTTTTCTTTTTATGTAAAAATGTTCTTCTGGTCTTTGAGATTGTAACAAAGGTTCATCTTCACGCGTCATCGTTTTTATCTTTTTCATTAAAAATGTTGTTCTAACGAATTATATATAAATTGAATATTTATTTACGAAAAGATTAAATGATAGTTGCAATAATATGTTGAAAGACTTACCTTAGACTTGGACATCAAGCCATTCTTGCGTTATTACGTGTTGTGATCCGAGAAGAAACAACGATGTGCCTTATATACGTAGAGGACAATCTTTTTATGAAGTTTTTTATCGCGATTTAGAAAAAATCTAAAGTATGTAAAAAGAAAAAAAAAAAAAGAAGAAAAAGAAGAAAGATATATTTGTAATTGTATACACGATCAATGTTATGTATCATCAAGAGAAACATAGAAAAAAAACTTCACATCGCGAAAGTGAATCTAGTTAGGACTATAAAATGATGAAGAAATATAATGTAATTGTTGATAGGAAAGTTTCGTTACACTTGCCTTGCTCGATCCGATGCGTTTCGAAGGAAAGCAACGATCGTTGGAAACATTTATTACCGTTTCTCTTTGTCCAATTAACGACATTAACCGACATTTACCTGGGATAGTTGTTAAGTTTTATCATGCAAGATATGCCTGTACTAAAAAATGCTTCTTTCTCGGCTTTCTACGATCCTTTCAGTGCTGTATCAATAATTCATTTGAACGTAAAATGATGAGAATATCAATTGGAAACTTCACATTGGTTATCACGTATTAGATACAATGAGAACAATTTTTTAATCTTTAATTTTATTGATTCGTAAGGTAAAGGGGAATAAATTTTAATTCGTCGTAACGAAACGTACATTTTTCAATTGTACATAATGTAACAAAGTATTATATATATTATATATATATATATTTAGCTAGTATATATTAATTGTAAGTTGTTACAAATTTCATTTATATTTACAGAAATGTTGAATGCTGTTTGAGATTGTAACAATTTTATAGGGATCGTCTCAAGAAGACGATTTCCAATTTTTTTAAGCAACTTATCCTTTTAATTAGCATGTACAGTTGAATAAAATGCGTTTCATAATTTCTGCTTAGATTAAGAAGGAGAGATATAATATGAACAACAGTACTGAAAGGATTAAATCGCTTTTTACGAACATTAAATAGCGTCTTGCCGAAATCTAAAACTAAATCGTTCTCCACGATGGTTTCGATTTTACAAATAGCTTTATATCTTCCTGACGTTCGGTTAATGTACAGATAATATAGCGAGAAAATTCGATGTACAGGGTGATTCGTAACATATTGTTATAAACTTAAATAAAATAAGAATTACATATTTCATTTTATTTACTAATAAAACAATTATTTTATATTTGAAACATATTTTAATGCAATAAAATCATATAATAAATAAGACATAATAATTTTAATTTAATTATACAATAAATGAGATGTAAAAATTTTTTGTTTTAAAATACATTAAATTAATATCGTCCAAGGATAAGAAATCAATGATTTTTTGTATATAACAACAAAAGAATCACCTTGTATAACGGAAACATCTCATTACCGTTACGGGGAATAACCACGCCCCATTTCCCTTCTCTTTTCTATTTTATCCCTTTCCTTTTATCACAATTTCAAATTTTCTCTCTTCTGTTGAAAATTTGATTCCTCGGATACAAACTATATCTATTATATTGTATTTACCTGAGTAGGAGAATAGAAGGAATTTATACGCTATACATGTAAAAGAAATAAATAGAAATATTATTGTTATGTACACGTGCGTGATCGGGCGTGTGCGATGTCGTTTGACTTTTCGTGATAAACCGCGAGGAGATATATTCATATTTTTGGAAATATGTTAGCATTATTATTAATATAATAATAATAATAATAATAATTATTATTATTTCCCCTTTTGTAATTATTAGAACACCGATAAGTCGAATTATCTAAGATTTATAATTGAGAAATCATACAGAAATATACATATATGGTAGCGTTGTTTAAAACAAATATTATTATATTATGATATGAGATTATAAAAAATGAATATGTTATGTAAATTGTGCCTATGATTTTTGCTTTATCCTCTCTTTCTTTATAAAAAATCCTTTCACTTTTCTTTTACGTAAAAATTTAAAATACTTTCAAATAAATTTTCCTCTACGAAACGTTTGTTTGATCATTTGTACGAGCAAAAAAACGAAAAAGTGATATTATAAAAAGAAAATTAAAATTAATGCGAAGAATTGAATTAACTGATAATTAAATTTTAAACTAATCGTATAATTCTATTTTATTATATTACGTATTTATTATATTACGTAAGTAAAAAATATTTCATATTTGAAAAATTTGAAAATAGATGATTAGAAATGATAAATCACTTTTTTGTTAATATATATCATTTTATTATAATATATATATTATTTCAAAAATAAAATTATATTTTTAATTTTTTGAATTTGATGTTTTTTAAAATATTATTTCAACGTATAACTTCTTAAAAAATCATTTATATGAAATAATTACAAATAAAAGAATCAAATAAAATTATATAAATATAATAAACTATAAATGTAATTTGGGAATTAATATATTGTTTGTAATCTGTTAAAATTGTTGTCTTTTATTCGATAAGTGCATGTCATGCGTGCAATAGACAAAGAAAGTAAAAATAAAGAGAAAAAGATAGAAATAGGGTAAAAATTGTGAAATGAGCGCCATCTTCAGATTGCCGCATGGAAACTAATATAAACAAGGAGAGAAAATAGTGGAACAAAGATGGAGATAGGACAAAATATTGAAATCAGCGCCATCTTCAGAGTGCCGCAAACGAAACACAGAAAAAAAGGATAGAAAATAATAAGAGAAGGATAGAAATAGAGTAAGAATTAACTACTAATGCCATCTCTCGAGTTTTTGTCAAAGATAGAGTAAGAATTGAAAACTAACGCCATCTCTCGAGTTTTTGTCAAAGATAGGGTAAAAATTGAAAACTAACGCCATCTGTTAAACGTTTTGTCTACTAATTTTTTCTATTTTTAAGGGGTATTTCTTTCAACATTTAAGAGATGGCACTGATAGTCAATTCCTATCCCTTTCTTTTATGTTTAATTTGCGGCACTCTGAAGATGGCGCTGATTTCAATATTTTGTCCTATCTCCATCCTTGTTCCACTATTTTCTCTCCTTGTTTATATTAGTTTCATTTGCGGCACTCTGAAGATGGCGCTGATTTCAATATTTTGTCTTATCTCCATCCTTGTTCCATTATTTTCTCTCCTTGTTTATATTAATTTCATTTGCGGCAATCTGAAGATGGCGCTGATTTCAATTTTCATTCTATCTCTGTCTTTCTTCCATTATTTTCTCTTTTTTATCTACTTTATATCTACTATATATATACTTATCTACTTTATATATTCTGCAAAATTTATACATTCGAAAAAATTACCTGATTAATTTTATTATCTCTTTTTCCTATTGATTAAAAATCTTAACCGAATCTATTCGAATGAAAATAATAAATTTTAATTTTTTGAATAATAATAAATGTTGAAGTGAGATTTTTATGTAAGATGCATTGAGTTGATATCAATCGTGAGTAATATCTTAAATATTTGCGTGGTATCCCTATTACGTGGCATATAACTTGTTTCTCGGTCATTGGCTTGTTACGAAACTATGCAATTTAATTAATAGTTTTGACAAATTTTAAATTGTAAAAATATTATATATTTCCTGCTTCCGATTTTATAAATGCATATTAAAAAAATCACGATGCATAAAAATATTTCTAATTCAGACATATGCAAATACATGTTATATTCGTATCATATAATTTTATTTATTTCATTTTTAATACATTTACATTTTAAATTTTCAAACGAAAGATTATTAACTCTTTTTATCAAAGATATATTATTTATAATATTCGTATATCATACGTTTTTTTATTTCAAATACGATTATTTCAAATATGATATTTAAATTTTAATATTTAATATTTATTTCTTCTATTGACTTTTAGCACGTAACCTATTAGTTTACGAACAACTTTGAACTAATTTAAAATCCAATATTTGATTTTTAAAACAAACAAGATATCAAAATCATTATTAAAACTATATCTTTATTTTCCATTTCATTCTCTATTATTCATATTATTTCATCGGAAAGAAGCGAAAGAACAAAAACCACTTTTTCAAATTGGACCTGACCTATATTCTATTTTTATTCCATTCTCTCGACTTTTTCGATCATAATTTCACAAGATTCACAATTCCCTAAAGCTAATAAAGCTAATAAGTATACATCTTTCTTCGTGCAATAAAATTTGTATTCCGATATCTCGTCTCTTCGATATCTCAATTTTGTTCCCGATATATCGATATCGAACCAGACTCGATATCAATAATCTCATTCGTATCTCAAACGCACGAAACATGTGTATCTCTTTCATAAGAAAAAAAAAGAAGAAGAAAGAAAGAAAGAAAGAAGAACAAGAAATACCTTGGAACGACAACCTTATTTCCATAAAAATTTCATAAGCAAAAAAAAAAAAAAAAAAAATCTGAAAACATATTTCACATTATTCCTATCACCATACCGATGATTCTATCCATATATCAAACCCGTTACAACAGAAATCGTACGCGTCTCTTTACTCGGCCGATGTTTTATCAACGCGCAGTTTAACAAACGAACAGTCGTAATTTTTAATCCACGACGAGAGGAATCGAAGGGAGGAAGATTAGCTCGATATCGAGCTTCCCTCGAAAACAAACTCTCACCTCGAACGGTGGCGTCAGCAACCCCGACGCTCGGCCACGCGCATGCACCACCCCGGTCGGTGGAGGGGTGAGTGCGAGGGGGCTACGAGGGGAGCAGCAGAGAGGGAGAGAGAGATCGAACGCCGACACCGTTTCTCCCAGTCTCCTCCCGTTGTTCGCGAGTGCATCGAAACCATCTTTCATCACTGTGTGTTTCAGCCCACTGTGCGTGTTTCCCACACCCGGTAGATGTAAAAGAAGAAGAAGAAGAAGAAGAAGAAGAAACATCTCTTTCGCGTTGGATATTAAGAGCATCGTATCACATCGATAGAACGAAGGAAATTACGAAAAAATCGACGTCCCTCTCTCTCTCTCTCTCTCTCCCTCCCTGTGTGGATATCTTTCCGGTGGAATCTGGTCCGGTTCCGTGGAATGAGAGGACAGCGACACGATCGCCGAGGGGATCGTGAAAGCTGAGAATTTTTGCTCGTCCAATCGAGAAATAAAGGCGGAGGGATAAAGGCCGTGGTTGACGGTGAGACATCGAGTAAGTAGACGGGATTAGAGTTTTTGGGTGTACTCGTAGCCATGGGGTGTACACAAAGACTTGGCCGATAACATAGGGGGGGGNGGGGGGGAAGAAATAGATGCGTAGCGGCGTGACGCAACCACGGTGAACGACGCGGTTTCGAGAGGAGAATTTTCGAAATCGAATAATCGATTGTTCCATATCTTTTGATTTTGGATGACATGATGGATGCAGTGTGTAGCGTTAATTGCATGATCGAACGGAGGAAACGTGACGAGATACGGTGAGGATCTCGTATCGGGATCGGATAATTCGGATACAACAAGTTTGGATTAAAATTCGTACGAGAGTCGTAGAGTTGCGAGAGACAGGAGATAAATGGGGGGGATAGGATTTGAGAATTCGACGGATTACTCGAGGGATTAGATTAAGCTTTGTTATTTAGGAAATTGAGATTGGACTTTTGATTGGTAGATATTCGTTGTTGGATTAGAGTAATTGAGCGAATATGGATTCACGTTGAGGATAAATTTGTGTTTTCTTTCGTAAGTTAAATTGGTTATAATCGTGAACGATTAATTTTACAGATTGTTCAAGACATTGACAGAGAAAATAGGTTTCGATATTTCTTCTTTTCGTGATTGTAATTAGAGAATATTAAATTAGGTTGATTTCGTTAAGTAAATTTAAATATAAGTATATATTTTAATGTGTTTACTGTAAAATTACATACATAGGAAAATAATAAATTATAGGATCTGAGAGAGTTGAATTTGAATATTCGAATATATTTTTCAATCGTTTAACGCGTATTCCATATGTATGTCAAGTATGGTATTTAGAGCGAATTATTACTAATGTCTCGGTACTCGCGACAGAAGAATAAAACTTATCGACTGTGACCTCGGGCACAGCGACAAATGTATCATGTGTTGTACGTATGGAGCCACGAAGTCTGGTATCATATAGGCAATACACAATCTGGAGCGATTATGAGCAAAGTATCAGTGTCGAAGCAGCTGACTTATGCCAAAAAATTCTGCGTTGGTGGTCGGAAAATTTCTTAATCGTTCTTAAAATCTTCTAAAAAATATTCAAAAGAATTCGTCTCGAAATTTAAATCGATGCGAATATCAACGTCAAATAAACTTTGCGACATTAAAACAAATATTCTTTCATTGTTACACGAATCATCTCATCGTACGTACAAAATATCTAATATTACTCATAATTTACAATTCTAAAAAAACACTTTACAATTTACTTCGATTTAATACGACCACCTCAAAAGAATAAAAATTTCCTTCGTAATTTTCCAATAATGAGAGAACATATTATTCGATATCGATCTTCAATCTCGTATACAACCGTGAAGAGGAGGGATAATATTCTTCTTTATTCTCATAATGCAATCATTATCCCCGTATTTGGCCCTCGGTATATACGAGTCGTCGGTATTCTTCTCGAACAACTTTTCATACCGACTTATTCATGCGACCTGTACCGCAATATTTATGAAGCCGGCCGATGAGGAGTACATTTTAATGAAACCAACTTAACAGTCTCTCGGACTGAGCAAGAATCGCGCGGCCCAATTGATCGAATCGAATCGTGTAACGAAATTTAATTCGACTGGGAGGGCAGGTAATCGGATCGAATTACGCGACGAAACGAATCTAAACTCTTTACATACATATGGATAATGAGACGGGACAACGAGACAGGAAATTATTATCAAAGTGTAGTAGGTCATGGCGAAACAATACTATTAACTAACGCGTTCAAGAGTGCGCGTAACACAGGAAATTGATCTAAAGTAATTCATTTGGCACAGCAAATTGTTTCCTATTCTACTTTGAAAGATGATTTAGATCGAACGTGTTGTAACATCGTCTTTCCTTCGTTCTGTGTTAAAATTTCCTCTTTGTTTGAGGAAATTCAAAAATTGTTTGCAACTGTTTCATTTTTTATGGAGTGGAAATAAGTAGAGCAGTATTCATTTTTGAACGAAAATTTATTTAAATCGACTTTCGTCTTTCGTTGCTTCGTTCTTGATCGATTATTTGAAAGAAATTCAAAAATGGTTTATATTATTGTGGAATGGAAATAAGTAGAGCAGTATTCATTCTTGAACGATGGAAAATTTATTTAAATCGACGTGTTTCGTTGCTTCGTTCTGTGTTAAAATTCTTGATCGATTATTTGAAGGAAATTCAAAAATTGTTTGCAACTATTTCGTTTTTTATTATGGAATGAAAATAAGTAGAGCAGTATTCATTTTTTGAACGAAAATTTATTTAAATCGACTTTCGTCTTTCGTTGCTTCGTTCTTGATCGATTATTTGAAAGAAATTCGAAAATGGTTTGTATTATTGTGGAATGGAAATAAGTAGAGCAGTATTCATTCTTGAACGATGGAAAAATTTATTTAAATCGACGTGTTTCGTTGCTTCGTTCTGTGTTAAAATTCTTGATCGATTATTTGAAGGAAATTCAAAAATTGTTTGCAACTATTTCGTTTTTTATTATGGAATGAAAATAAGTAGAGCAGTATTCATTTTTTGAACGAAAATTTATTTAAATCGACGTCTTTCGTTGCTTCGTTCTTGATCGATTATTTGAAGGAAATTCAAAAATGGTTTGTATTATTGTGGAATGGAAATAAGTAGCAGTATTCATTCTTGAACGATGGAAAATTTATTTAAATCGACATGTTTCGTTGCTTCGTTCTGTGTTAAAATTCTTGATCGATTATTTGAAGGAAATTCAAAAATTGTTTGCAACTATTTCGTTTTTTATTATGGAATGAAAATAAGTAGAGCAGTATTCATTTTGAACGATGGAAAAATTTATTTAAATCGACGTGCTTCGTTCTGTATTAAAATTCTTCATCGATTATTTGAAGGAAATTCAAAAATGGTTTGTAACTATTATTATAGAATGGAAATAAGTAGAGCAGTATTCATTTTTGAACGATGCAAAATTTATTTAAATCGACGTCTTTCGTTGTTTCGTTTTAGTGCTAAAATTCTTGATCGATTATTTGAGAGAAATTTGAAAAATTTTAAAAATTGTTTGCAACTGTTTCGTTTTTTATTATGGAACGAAAATATTCATTTTTAAACGATGGAAAATTTATTTACTTTTGAAAATTTTCATTCACGAGATTGAATAAAATAGAGATATTTAAATACGTGCAATACATATATATATATATATATGTTATTGATATTTGTAAAATTTCGTAACTGTTCGTCAGAAACATAAATATTTACGCGAGGGTTTAATATTTGATTTTCCTCTTATTTGAAATCAATTATTTATTTAAAATCGGACAACAAATTTTTTTTATAAAATCGTTTCCTCTCCCATTTCCATCATTCTCCAATCTTTTACCAAGCTCTCTACAAAAAAAAAAAACTCAGCCCAGTCGCAATTCGAATAAACAACTCGACCTAGCAATCCAACGATTCTCGTTCGATTCGACGTAAACTATCTTGCTATCTCGTTTCATTATCAATTTAACGAATTTTGCGGTTCATCTCTCGCGTGTCTATCGATAATTCCAACGGTTGTATCGATACTTCTCTAAACTCGGTATGCACTCGGCCTTAAGGTCGCTACCAGGAAGGGTAGAAAGGACTCGATCGATGCGTGACTCTGTCTGACGACGTACACCACGCAACAGAGACGGGTAGAGAGGAGAAGCAAGGGGGAACGAGATGGAGGGAACACGAGGAGGAGACACGAATCTCCCCTTGGTAGAGAAAACACAGTCGTTCGTATTCCATCCGTGCGATCCTTCTTCTCTCTCTCTCCTCGTCTCATTTCTCCTCATTTTCGCGTGTTCGAACGATAATAAGAGAATTTCACTCAACAATCCTACGATATGAAAGAGATTTACCTTGTGCATCCTTTCTGAATAATTTTTTTTTAATCATCTGGACGAAAGAGATTAGATGTGGTAAGATAGAGACTGTTTAATTTCCTTCTTCTTCTTTTTTTTTCTAGAAAATTTGTCTGGATTTGGATTTTTTAAAATCCAAAGGAGGAGTGTCGAGAGAATGTTAATATTGTTGTTGGAAAGATATTTTGAAACTGGAATAAAATGGAATTTTATTATTGGGTCAATCGATGATGATGGAGAGGAGGATGATCGACCAGAGATAACTATTGGATAAGAATTACTGTTGTCAGCGATCTTTGCCCACTCAACGCCAATCTTAATTTTCCTCGAGGAGCTCGAGTTTGATTCCGATTGATGATTCGCCGTATTTTTTCTTGGGAAATAATAAATAGGTCAGAACGATACGTTTGGTTGGATCAACGAGAATGGATTGCTTAAATAACAGTGACATCATAGCAATTAAAGTAGCAGATAAATCTTTCTCAGTGACGTACAATTAGCATCGTACGAAAATTTATAATACATCGTTACTTTTTCTTCCATTCGAAAGCGAGAACAATTTTTTTATCGCTCCGTGATATCTCGATGGAGATATTAACGTTTTCAATAATGGATCTCAATCAAAATGCCTTGTTAATCACCAATTGATTCAAAATTCTCACATTTTCTTGTTTCAATTAAACCCTCGATAAATATGGATCATTGGAATCGATGGAATCGTACGGAAGAAGAATCGCTGCTCGCGAATCACGTTACGAAGGCAAATCGAGAAAATCATCTCCGATTATTCCGCTAAATGCTTTCCTCGGAGCGGTTTGAGAATCGAGGTAAACGGATGAGAAAACAGAAACCTTAGGAAATAAGTAGGCGTCAAATAACAGAGGTGAAGTACAAGACGAGTAAAACAGATACACACAAGGTAATCCACTGTTGGTTTCAATCTCGAGGGAGCGATCGAGAGGAGGAAAGTTGCGCTTCACGATACTTAGTCGTTTTTCGACAAACCGCCGGCCGTAAATTTTACCAACGTCCAGATAAGCGGTGCAAAAGTCGGTTAGAAAGAATAATAAATCAGGAGGATCGTATAAATCGATCTAGGTAAAAAGAAAAATTTATTCAACGAGATAAAGTGGTTTTCGTAACCGCTGCAAAGGTTATAAAGATTCTTCTCTCGAGTTAAACGAAAGAGAAAATGGAGAAAAATGTACGATTCGATCTGTTTGCTTCCTGTTCCTCTTCTTCAATCATCTCGTTATTTCATTCCTTCACTCTCGATCTCCTTCGATTTCGCCAACCTATAGAATCGCGATTCTCGAAAAACCCGCGAAAACGCAACCCCAATGCCGGAAACGGGGCTAGAAGGCATGGCGATCGATTAAACGTCGGCGCCTGCCAAACCTATCCAAAACATCCCTCGTTTCAATCGTACCGAACTGAATCCATTCCGAAAAAAGACGCAACCTAAATTCTTAAAATCTCTCCCTCTCTCTCTCTCTCTCTCCCTCTCTAAAAAAAATCAGCGTATAACGAACCGAGAAATCCGGATGCAACCTAGGGATAACAAAAACGAAACGACGAACGAAAGATCGTCTAAAATCTAAAGTGTCCACGTTGCGCAGAGGGAAACAGAGCGCGGGATAGAGAGAGAGAGAGAGAGTGGGAGTTGCGAAGAGGGAGAAGAGAAAGGTAGGGGGGATAGACGGAGTGAGAGAGAGAGAGAGAGAGAGAAATGGATGGAGAAGGTGGGCGAGAGAGGTAGGAGAGAGCGAAAGGAGAGCGAGGAACGAGGGTGTTGGTTGCGAGTCGATAAACCACTGGAAACGCGAGCACCCTTGCGCACGGCTTCAACATGGCGGTCGGTGAGTCCCATTCCCTTTTTCCTCGGACGTTCTCGGCCAGGTAGAGAGCGAGGAGAAGCGGAGTCGGTGGTCGTCTTACAACCACGATCGATTCTTCGCCGCTAGTAGTAGTTTTTCTTTTCTTTTTTTTCCCCTTTTCTTTCTTCCTTCCTTCCTTCCTTCCTTCCTTCCTTTCTTTTCTTCCGCCTGCTTCCTCTCCTCCCCTCGTTCTCCTCTCGAGAAAATGATCTCGCGAGGCCGATGAGCGTCGCGGCCACGCGGATCGCGTGCTCGTGCGTGTTGCGGGTACGTGTGCTACGTGTGTGCGTGTCGTTGCTACTACACCCTAAGCGCGCGAGTGCAACGAGGAACAATTTTCTTTTTTTTCGAACGTGAACGGAACGTAGAGAGAAAGGGAGAGGGAGAGGGAGAGGGAGAGGGAGAGAGAGAGGAGCATCTCGAATCGTGCGTGTGTGCGTTTTGGTTTCAGACGAGGATCCGATATGCGGCTCAGGGAGGCTGTCGTCTCGATACCGCTCCATCCTGGGGGATTGAACAACAAGTAAGTGAGAATTATCGGTCGGGACGAGGTCGATGCCTGTCGTTCGTCTTCCTCCCCCCAAACGTGTTCGACGTTTTTTTCTATTAAGTCACACGACAATTTTCGTTTCGTCGTGGTCGCCGTCGTGGTCGCTTTCCTCTTTTTTTTTTTTTTTATCTTTTTTAACCTCCTCGAGCTACCTTTCTTCTCGTGCCACGGTAAGGGAGAGGGAGCCAGTGTGTTTTTGCGTGGGAAATTGTTTTCTTTCTTTCGTTTTCCGATCGACGAGTATATTTCTAAATGAATGACGTGGCCTCCTCCTCACCTTTCTTTCCCGCTGGTTAAAAATTGATATTTTTTGTGTTTTATTTCCTTCCTTCTTGTTTTGCGTCTCCTCTTTTTTTTTCTTCTTCTTTTTTTTTATTTTTCCTCCTTTCTTTCACGCAATGAATTTTACGTACGTACGTACGTGTATTTTGCAAGTGGAAAAGAAAGTGTTTTTTTTTTTCCGTTCAAAGGGTATTGCGATGTTATAATACCAGTTTTAAGTTGGATTGTTGATGGATTAAATTTGATGATGTGGCGCTTGTTTCGACGTGGTCGTTTTTTTTTTTTTTTTTTCTTTTTTATTGTCTCTGTGGTATTACCGTCGAATTAATTAATTTTTGCCTTTTTTACGTTTCCTTTGTTGATGCGTGTTACAATGGGAGTGAAAATTAAAATGGAAGTGAAAACGTTTAGAAAGTTCATTACGGATAGCATCGTATCCCATGAAGTCTTTATTGTAATAGTTATTTTGATATTTATTTGAAATAGAGATCTTTTTTTAATTTTTATTTTTCTCCATTTATAATTAATTAGAATAATCTTAATAAAATCTTCTTAATAAAAGTAGAATTAGCTCTCACAATTTTAAAACGCGTAGCTTTCACTCGGATCTAGCAACGAGTAGCTTTAAATGTTACTTAACTTAGTTAGTAAATTGTAGAATATTTATTCCGTACCTTATTATTAGCAATGCCAAGGCATTTAACTGAAAAGGAAAAATCATAAGGTTAGTGTTGACTCTAAACGGTTCCCCTTTTGATACAGTTTACCGTATTATACATATTATATATATATATATATTATACATATATGTATATATATATATATATACATACATACATACATACATATATTCGTTCGTACAATCATTTTTATTATTTCCATTCTTTTCTCCATGTTTCATCCACGCATTCTAAATCTATCCGTGCTTCTTCTGTGCTGTTGATTAAAAAAAAAAAAAAAAAGCAGAATCAGAAATTAAAGCAACCAACCAACGTGTAGATTTTTCGATGTTTCTCGTATATTTGTAAATATTCATATTACACATTTTTTTGCATCGAACACGCGCATACACACAGAGGCATACACGCGCGCACACACACAGGCCGCAACAAGTGATTGTATCGCATGAACTTTTGCTATCCCTTTGTTTCTCCTCCCACCAATTCTTCTCGAACGAACGATGTTCCTCCTGATTTTGCTTTTTCCTTTCTTTTCTCTTAATCCTCGGAGTATCATTCAAATTCTTTCTTCCAAAATTTCTTCTCGCCGACGAGAAGAAATGTTTAAATACGAGAGCCGTTATAAGGGAGCAGTTCGAGAAAATATTGAATTCTCCCTTTGATGTTCTGCTCGTGGTAAAAAGTAATGGATATCATTAGTAAGTCCGTAAGACTGGCCCGTCTCAATTCTCAGCGGGATCGTCGAACTGCCCGATACTCCGAGGATTAATGCTCCATTACTATATCTTTACGATCGTACATTCCTCCCCTTCCCCTCCTCTGGCGAGCAATTTCACGAAATTATTAATAATATCTTCTTTCCTCTTCTTCTTCTCCCCCTTTTTTTCTTACTCTTTCTTTTAGTATGTCGTTTTATTTTTATTAGATACAGCTGTTCGCTTCGCATAGATCCCCTCGATACTCTTCGAGAACGATGGCGAACGCGTGCATGCGAGTTTTATTTTCCACGACACACGCGACACACGACAGGATTGAAGAAACGTTTTCTTTTTTTTCTTTTTTTTTTTTCTTTCTTTCTTTGTTGCGTTCTCAGAAAACAAACAAAAGCATCGCACGCGTATTTATTTATTATCAGTGTCTTGATGATGATGATGATGATGATGATGATGATGATGATCTCCTATGGCGATGAAATTGCACTGTTAAAGCACAAAAGGGATTTTTTTTAATGGGCACGATCGTCGAACTCGTCGGAGGCGAGCTCGAAAGATGTGTTGTACAGCATTCCGAATTGCTTGTCGTTCCAAATCCAGTTTAACGACCGCCTGCTGTTTGATCTCTCGTAGAGAGAATTCGTTTCCTTTGCACCGTGTGTTTTAATTTTATAGATATACGTGTGTGTGTTTTATTTACATCGGTGTATCGTCCTCTCTCGTGTGTTCGACAATCGAATGAAATTGTACGTCTCGTGTCTTTTTTGAGAAAAAAAAAAAGAAAAATAGAAGAAGAAATTGGATTTTACACTGTATTGAAATTTTGAACAAGTTTTTTGAGATTTATTGAATATATCGTTATTACGATTGAGATTGTAGCGAAGGAGGAATAAATATTTTCTTCGAAGATAAAACGAGTAAAATTTTTTAATCAATGCATTTAGCGGATAATGAAATCTCGTTATAGAGATTAACCTTTCGAGTTAATTTGACATTAACGTTCGGCTATTTTGTCGTTTAAAAAGAAAGACGAAGGAGTGTTTAATAAGACTTATCTTTAATCGAGGAGCATATTACGAGGGATCCTCTCGATTTAATTTAATAATTCGTTAAAATATCGAACGAGATAATTGTGCGTATTATATTATAAAAAATTTAATACTTCGATTTAACGAAGAACTACGAGTTAACTGATGATCTTCGTTATCGATATTTCATTACATAATTTAAAAATACTCTTGAAACGTTTTAAAAGAAAGTTATTAACAATACTTTTCGAAAAGCAACATTTTTTTTCTTCGCTGCCAAAACTATTAGAGTACGAAGAAAATACTTAAATAAACATCAAATAAATAACGCAGACAGAATTCTTCTTTCTCGAACAATTTGAAATCTAAATCTTGATCACGAAGAACAAAATTTAACAATAAACACAAACATCCTTTTCCTTCATCACAATCTTAATTAAGTAGACTGCAAATCCGAGGTAGAGCACGAACTAGAAAATATATTTAACAAACATTCTCTTCCTCCAATCAATCTAAAATTGCAACAATCTATCTATCGCGAATTTTAAATCCGAATTAATATCCAATAATTAACCAATAATATCCACGAAGAGAATATTTAAAATTCTCCTTCTTCCAACCAATCTCAATTACACGACCTAACAAATCTAGAGTGAAAATATTTAAGAAAATTAATTGCCACTCGAAAGGGGAAGAGAACATCGAAGAGGACCGGTTGTGAAGATCGAGAAAAAAGAAAAATCGCGAATTTGTTGGCGAATTTGAAAGGCGGCGGTTATTACGAAGGGGGGGGAGTCGTCGTGTGTGGGTGAGCAAGGCGCTCGCGCGCCTTCCACTGCTCGTACAGTCTTACGTGGGTGTACGCTGCCTATATTTGCATCGTCATAGATCGTACGGGTAACGGAACGTATCGATCCACTTGGGCTCATTTCTCTGTCTCGGTCGCAGTCAGTTACGTAGGAGCGAGCAGAGCCAGCCGATCACCGAGGAGATCGCGAATCGGAACGAGACCTCGGCCGCCGACTCGGTCGCGGCGAGTCGGATCAACGCCGATTTCGTGGCGGAGGTCGGCCAGGATTTCCGCGTCGCCGAGGACACCAGCACGTGGTCCTCGATCGCCATCACCCGCGAGAATGTCCAGATCGATACCTCGGCCAACGACGCCAACTTGAACAACAATCTGACGGTACCCCGGATACGCAGGAACAGTTCTGTGGAAAGTTTGGCCGATTACGAAGGTAAATGAAGGAGAGCTTTTATTTCTTTTTTTTAAGGTGAAGAATTGAACGAACGAATGATCGATGAACGAATGATCGATGAACGAAGAGTTTGGAACGTTTGAATTTTTAGGCATTGATTTAGGTTTTGTTCGTGGAATGATTTTTGTTTGTTTGTTTTTTTTTTTTAGTAAAATGAGGGTAAAGTGAAGTTTTGAACGTTTCGAAGATTTACGGATCTTCATCGTGATAGAGGATTTTAGACGTGTCGATGATTTTGTTCGTGGAATGATTTTTATTTTAGTAAAGTGGAGAAGTGAAGTTTTGAGTGTTTGGATGAAACGATGAGGCGAAAAAAGATTTACGGATTCTAAGATTTATCTTCTGAAGGAAGATATTAAAATTTATCTGAAACGGGATTTTAGATGATTTTGTTCGTGGAATGATTTTTGTTTTAGTAATGTGGGGAAGTGTGAGTGAAGTTTTGAGTGTTTGGATGAAACGATGAGGCGAAAAAAAGATTTACGGATTCTAAGATTTATCTTCTGAAGGAAGATTTTAAAATTTATCTGAAATGATTTTTTTGATAAAGTGGAAAACGATGAGTGAAGTTTGGTTTATGGTTTATGGAATGATTTTTATTTTGTTTAATTTGAAAATAAATCCTCTAAATGTGAAGATTTAGTGTATAAATAAAAGTTTGTTTTTATGATTTTTGAATGAGAAATTTGATCAGATTGATTTATTTTATTTTGTTTTGAAGAGTAGATTATCAAGATTGTTATTTATGTTTAGCAATTTAAAGAGAGAGATTGTTTTGATTAAACATGAGATAGAGTTTATCGTCGGACCTTGAAGATCAATTTTAGTACAAAGTGTTACGAAATTTATATGATTTTCATTTTCAAGAGGTTGAAACTCGAGATAACTAAATGGGTTCGTTCAATTTTTTTTACGTATAATTTAATTATAACTTCGAAAACATCTGAGATTGACTATATATACGTGAAACTTATAAATAGTCTATTGGAAAACACTACTTTAGAATAAATATAAAACTTGTAACTTGTTTAAACAAGTTTTCATCATAGGAGAGAATATTTCTAGCTTAGAAATTTCATTCACGTAATTTGAAGTGAATAAAATTTCTCCCCTCCAAAAAAAATGGGATTAATAAATAAAATAAGATACGTGTGATAATTAATTTCTCGTTATCGTAAAAGTCACGAACTTCGATATTTTAAACTGGTTCCCCAACCTTTCTAAGAGCAGTTTAGACCTTGACATTAACTATAATTTTTCTGTGCTAATATTGCTATTGACGTATTCATAGTTTTATCGAAAAAGAAACAATTTTTTCCCGCCAAGCTTGAGAGAAAAATCTACGATCATATTTTTCCATCAACTTTTCTTATTCCAACCAAACCAACCAAACTCTAATCTTTCTCCTATAAAATCTTTCAAATTCATTAATCACTTTTCCATTACTTTCTTTCTTCGATTAATCTGTTTACCATAATTCTCCAATACAATAACTTTTCCATTACTTCTTTCACCGATCTATCCGTTATAATTCTTCGATAAAAAAGAAAAAAAAAGAGAAAAATTCAACTCTCATTTTCCACCACGTATCCCTAAGTTTCCATTCCAATTACACTCTAATGCTTCTCCCATATTTTTTTTAAAATAAACGAGAGAGAAACTCGAATATTCAAATACGAAACACGATCTCTTTTTCCAATATATTTTATACTTTTTCATAATTTTCCAACACAATCAAAAAAAAAAAAAAGTTCTACGTTCAAAAAAGTTCTCCCACATCACATTTTCCTTATCTTCCATGCCAATCGCGTCCCTATCTTGCTTTCCTTTCATTAATTCGCCAAAATAAACACAAAAAAAAATAAACAAGATGGAAGAAATATCTACGAGATATAGAGCCAATATAGAGTCCAGCAACGTTTTCAGAAACGTTCTCTTAATGAAGCGATTCGATAAAATCGGATGCGGCAGCTGCGATGAGTCAGTGGCGGCGGCGGCGCCGATTATTCATTAATTCGTGCAATGTGTGCAACTGGCGTGAAATTCCTCAGGGCGTAACTCCTCTCACGAAGATTCGTCCCACGAGTTGACACCGTCCGAGTGGTCCGACTGGTCCGAGGAGGGAAATCTGCCCGCGGGTTGTCGCGGTATCGTCAACCCTAATTATCCTGGCTTTCAACACTTGGCGCCTTCTCTTCTGTCGGACACAGATCTGACCGAGGACGAGCACGAGAGCTGCGATTACACCAGGCTGAACGACATCGACGCGAGACCGGCAGAGAACGACAACGAGTACAACAACAACGTCGAGGATAGCATCAATCATTTGTGCGGGCAGAGGAACGAGAGGAAAATATTTTACGAGAAACCTAAATTCAATATACAGGTGAATAATATTGTTTTCCTATCTTTGGTTATTTTGTTATTTTTCATGATATGCAGGGAGAAGATTATTGTTTGAAAAGCGAGGATTAATTAATTGTCCGAAGGATGATAGTATGGATAACGTATTTGGAGATATTTTATGAGTATTGAGAATTGTATAGCTTTATCCATTTGTGCGGGCAGAGAAATGAGAGGAAGATATTTTACGAGAAACCTAAATTCAATATACAGGTGAATAATATTGTTTTTCTATCTTTGGTTATTTTGTTATTTTTCATGATATGCAGGGAGGAGATTATTGTTTGAAAAGTGAGGATTAATTAATTGTCCGAAGGATGTATTATGGATAACGTATTTGGAGATATTTTATGAGTATTGAGAATTGTATAGCTTTATCCATTTGGACAGAGAAACGAGAGGAAGATATTTTATGAGAAATTTAAATTCAATATATAGATGAAAAATGTTGTTTTTATATCATGAATGCGTAGAAAATACGCGTTAGTTAATTGAAATTTTATTTATAAGGGAGAAGATTATTGTTTGGAAAGTGAGGATTAATGATTGCTGTAGATTGATGTCTAAGAGAGATAGTCAAGAATATTCGAATTACTTTGTTCGATCGAAGAAAAGTAGGAAAAAGTGCAAATGGAGACTCGCAACTGATAATGATTAACTTGACGCGTTTCAAATTTAGCTGCAGCTTCCATTCAAGCACCGCATTTGTCCCGGCCGGTCCAAAATACACCCCAACAGAGCAATGCTCAATTATGTTCCAATTTCTTTCGTTCTCGGCTTCCAGCCTATTTATAGCAACCTTCGAATGCCTCGAATTTTTCCCACTATATTTAAATTAGTCGCGGTCTCATCTCTTAAACCCAGGCCGATACGTATTAAAAAGGAGCGTGTATGTTGTATAGCGTGTTGTATAGCAAAGAAAAAAGTATCAGTCGATCGGTGGCGCCAACGCGATAACGCACGAGAATCCAATGATCAGCTTCAAAGAAACTTGCTGCGCTCCAGATCTAAGTATACGCGTTACTTTCCTTCTTAACACCGCCGCTTTTAGTCGTCATGTGCGAAACAGTCTGTTGGGTAGCAACAACTGACTATAAGCTCTCGAAAATGGATTCTGAATACTAATCTTGACTCTTACGCGTATTCCTCCTGTAAATGAATATATGTGTATATATATATATATATATATATATATATATATATATGTATATTGCTATCCTAATTATTTTAAAACCAATATAATAATCACAAAAATTTACAATACAATCGAATCAAACTGTAATACATATACACGTATACAAAAAGTATTTGCATATATATATATATTTTCTTTTTATCAGATACTGAAATTTAATTTAACTTAACTCCTTTTTTTTTTTTTGGATACAATAAATAGAACACGTGCAAATACTTATTGTTCCTCACTGTACATAGTTTTATGGTTGGAATTCGCAATTGCTCTGCCGCATAGTTCTACGACACAAGAGAACAGTAACTCGGCCGACGTTGGCACGAATAATGGAATAGGTTAAAGAGGCATCCAAGGCCCAAGAGGACTGAATCGTCTCGAATCAACTCTGTTTCCAGACCGTAACGTCTTTATACGAGTCGGTGGTGCCGCCATCGGAGAAATGCATAAACTACGTGAAAAGCGTTGAGGATTCGAGAACGGAGGAAAAGATCGTGACGCCGAAATCGGACATCGTGAACGACGTGGTCGAGGCGGAGACGCATCTCACCGTTCTAGAGCCGGAAGAGGGCCTCGCCGACACGGTCGCGGAGAACGCTGCGGAATTGTCGGAGGCTGTGCTGGAAGAGAAGCAGGAACGGGAGATCCCGGTCGAGGTCGAGATCGTGGAATTGACTACCAGCGTGAAAGAGACCCTCCAGTTTCCGGAAATCGAGGAGATACCGGACTCTGGGAAGACGAGCGAGGTCGGTGAGGTGGGTTCCTGTCTTTCTTTTTCGTTTCTATTCCATTCTTTCGCGCAATCAACAATTTCGATCTTATATTTCTCGTAACAGTCGCGATTCCAAATCTTTGTGAATTTTTAAATTTAACACGGAGTTTCGAAAAGTAGAAGCTTGAAAGATTACTAGAAATCATATGAATTTTTATCTGGAGGAGTTGAACGTCAAACGTTTCTTTATATTAAGAAAATGTTGTTCAATAAAGCGTTACAAACACGCGAAAAAACGATACGTAGATTCATCGATTCGCGTCGATAGGATTGGAAAAAAAAAAAAAAAAACGCTTAATTGCTGCCATTTTTCACAGCAATTAAGGATTAAAAACCGAGCACGGGAGAAACGATTCCTGTTGCGATGAAGCACGGGCAATCGAGATTAACGAGAATTCGCTTTATATCGTCCGTGTCATACTTCTCGCCGCCACATGTGGAAGACTAATGACTGCACACTGGACGCACACGCGTGCAGTATACACATTAATGCATTCACCAGAGTTCACGGTATATACGTTCCTCGTTTTAAAACAGCGCCAGTCGAGCGGCCGGCTACGTGTGTGTTACACGACCGTTCGTTAATCAACAATTTCCGGAAACTTTGGGACGATCCACGTAGTAACTAAATACCAATTAACGATGGTGTGAATCAGGCTGCTCTTTTGCAACCGTGTCAACGTGTCGCGGATGAGTGGTCGCTAATTTAACGATCGTGATTTCGAACGAGAGAGCCCAAAAAAATTTTATCGATTACTTGCACGGTGTTCCATTATTTTATTTTGTTCAAAGTGTTGCGCGATACGAATCGATCAATTTGTCAAATTAATTCGCCACCTTCAATCAATCTTTACCAAACATTAAACGAAACCGCTTTCTAACCACGATTCTCAACGATCCTTTACCAATTAAATTTTATCGTTTATTATACAAGATTCGTCACGAAATTTTAAGAAAGAAGAATATACAAAACGTGTATAACCAGTCGAGCCGAAGTCGTATTTTTCAAATGCCCTATGTGCTATTACAAGATTCACGGATAAGAATCACGAAGACAGAAGTATATGCGAAATAAACGGGAAAGCCGATCCCGACAACCGCGTTATCCCATTCCCGTTTGAGCGGCGAGCGTTCACCCAATGCTAACGAGCATTGTCTTTTTCAGACGGAGGATATCGTGGTGGAGCACATCGACCTGATACGCGAGGCAAAGGAGTTGCCTCACCAGACCCGTTCCAAAATAGGCAACCGTCAGACGGTCACGTCGACCGGCTCGGCCGACGACGACTCGGAGAGCAACACCGACACCGACAGTTACCCGGAGGAGCAGCCCACCTACACCAAGCTCGAGGAGATCGATCTCCTCTCGAGCATCGGCCGTGATATCGGCCTCGATCTCGAGAAGTACGTGCAACCGGTGCCGGACGTGGTCGCGATGGAAGCTGTGGACCCGCTCCACGCCTCCTCCAGATCCTCCTCCTCCTCCTCTATGATGAAGGACACCATCGAGGACACGAACAAGCTGATGGATCGCGATCTTCCCGAGGCCTCGAGCGCCGACACGAGGAAGAAGGAGAAGATGGCCAGGAATCAGGCGAAACGCAGACAGCAACAGCAACAGCAACAGCAACAGTTGCAGCAGTTGAGGGCGGCGAACGCTCAGAGGCGGCCCGACAAGAGGAGAGCCGACGCCGACAATGGACCAGGTATATGTTCCAGCCATACAGTTGTTTGTGTGCGTGTGCGCGCGCGTGAGAGTCGGGATAAGGAAGATTTGATTTTTATCGACCAGACTGTTCATACGGGAGGGTTCAGAAGAATTGGCATGACAGTCACATTCCCTGAGAATAATACTTGTGCAGTTGAAAAATCCTCTTTATCGTTTTTTTTAATCGAGGGAATGGTAAACTATCGAAGGTATTGATCCAAGTCGATTGATCAAGTCATTTTTCACAGGGAATGCGATTTGCATTGATCGATCGACCCTCTTTCGATATATTGGGAGACAAAAAATTTGGAATTTGTTGGATTACACGATCGTGAGAATAATAATTAAAAATATTGTTATTATATAGTCGTTAAATTGCTCGTCGAAACGAAACTTTGATGCAAACTTTTTACGCTCGTTAAAACGTCACGAAGATAAAGAAAAATCTTCCGGTACTTCCGGTACTCGTGTGCTCTTTGCACCATGTGTGATTAATTCTGGTTTCTCAACAGAAGTGAAATTTCACGGTGCAAGAGCATGGAATAAAACAAGCGTGGAACCCGTATCTCGATTTTTACGCAACCAGACACACACAGAGACAGAGACAGAGATACAGAGAAAGAGAGAGAGAGAGAGAGAGGGAAAAAAGAGGCGTAATCAGAATCAAATTTTCTTGTCGTTTTTCACGCAGGAAGCCAGCACGATTAGCGTAATCTCTAGGACAATAAAAGCACCTCGACTATATCTATTATACGTGACACGATGCCTTTCACGATGCCTTCTCATTTACGCTTCTTCCTCCCGAGTATTCTCATGCTCGTCCCCCTTCAAATTTCACACGGTGTACACGAGTAAAATCAGCAATATTACCGTGCAATATTCATCGTGTTGCGAATCTGAAAGAAAATTTCAATTACAATTATCAAGGAAAGTAAAAGTGAAGAAGTAATAAGTGACGAGTGGTTTGGAAAGTTGCCAGACAAAAGTTTCCACGATGTCTTTTTTTTTCTTTTTTTTTTTTTCCCTATTTCGATCGTTACTCGATTTCGGTTATCGCTTTTAATTGCGCGCTATTATCGTAACGATACACGTATTTAAAGTTAATACCTCAATTTGTGATTTCTTTTCCATGGAAGGCGGCTTCGATGTCTACAATATCGAAACAGCGATGCCGAAAATCGATCTGGACGCGATCGAATCTCATTTAAGAGCTGCACGCGAAGAGGAACGACGGGTGAGTGAATATTTTTATACATATATATATAATATAATTGTACACAACATCGTACCTGGTAACTTCTTTACTCCAAGATTGATCGGAATAATTTCTTCGAGCAGTTTCTGCGTATAAAAAAAAAAAANAAAAAAAAAAAAAAAAAGAAGGAAACTTCCTCGTAACTCGAGGAATCTTTCATCTCGCTGTGAAAATATTAAATTTTTATTTCATATCGCATTATCGCGCAATGTTTTCATAGAAATGCAGATGTTTAAAGAAATACTTGGTGGGTGTGTGTTTGAGCAATGTTTGTCGAGATGGATGCAATGTTTACGCATGATGACGTAATTCAAACGTAGGTCAACCTACGATCTTTCTCTCAAATTCGATTTTTTTTAATCGACGAGATCCAGAAAACTCATATAAATTTCGAAAGAACTTATGCTATATACTACTATACATATCCGATCATTGACACACGAAACGAGATACAAAACAACGCACGTTATCTCCACGAAGCTATTTTTATCATTCGCGTTAACGATATCGAAAAATGGAAGAAGAAGGGGAGAAGGGTATGTGACGATAAATATCGATATTAAAGTAATAATGAATAAGAAAAAAAGAAAAGAGATACCGAAATGAGGATCAGGATTAAAGGATCCAGCATGGGAATTATCCATCATAATTCTTGTAAACATGATCGTTAAGCGAATGGAAAATTCGCGGGAACGTGTGTTGCGCGAGCAAAAGGTGGGGAAACGTAATTGCGCCGCTCGAGGGAAGGAAAATAATTAGCGGGAGGGACGAGGAGGGAGAGGGAGAGAAAAAAGTAACAATTTCGCGTCCAGATGGCCGATGTTCTCACGGATAAAAAAAAAAACGGTGCAATAAAAATTGAATGAACGTTCGCGCGAAGAGACGAGATTGAATCGGTTTCGTCCGAAGGCCGAGATATAACCGTGTTTAATCATAAACGTTGCCTGATAAACTCTCGCTCGATCGCTTCGAATAAAATCGTAAAGGATGCGGTGGGCGCGCGCGCGCGTGTGTGTGTGTGTGCGCGCGCGCGCGCTTAGACGAGAGAAACATCGATCCAGAGCGAAAAACTGGCTGAAAAATTGAAGAAAAAAATTTCGTTGGTCGATTAATTTAAAGTTAAAAGATGAATTTTATTTCGCTTGAGATTCGCGCAATTCTCAAAATTAGAATTATATCACCGATGTATATATTCCTCCATTCCACCTCGAAATATATCTAATATATTTTCGCTCTCGAAAAGATCCTCTTTAACTTTTAACCGTGAAAAAAGTTTCTTCGAACTTCAATTAACCCAATTAATCTAGAGAGATGGAAGAAAAACGAGAGATTCGTTCTCCTTTTTTTTTTCGGGAACGACGAGGCTTCACGCATCGATTCCAATTACGTCAACGTTGAATAACAAAAATCGGGGATCCCGTTTAATTTAACCCAGTTTTTCGCATTTCGAGAAGAAGGAGAAGGAGGAGAATCGGATTCGATGAGAGGGGAGGGAAGAAAAAAAAAAAAAACAAAGAAAATGGAACTTTTTTCACAGAAATAGTTTCAGTGCCGTCAGGTTAGACACGAGGAGAGAGGGGAGAAAAATGCCGCGAACATTTTCACGACGAGACGTTTCGCGCGGATATTTTCTGGATTATTGACATGGAAAATAAGGTCGATGAGGCTTAGAACCCCGTTTCAGGGTCCCGATAGCGAGAGTCGTCTCGTTAAACGGACAGACGATCCATATTCGTGGACTGTGCAGCGTGCCATTGTATGGAAAATAGGGGAACAGGAAACGGATGTCGCCACGGGGGGACGATCGATGCAACCGTCAGATAGAGCGTGGCATAATTCGGCGCGTAAAAAATTTTAAAGAGGGGAAAGAGAGGGGGAGGGGAGGGAGTGAAGAGAGCTTAAACGCGCGCGCGATGGAAAAGGAAGATTGAAACGAAGATGGAGGTAACGCGAATTTAAATCGAAATACTGGGAATGGAGGTGACACAGAGTTCGAGACATCGTGCGGGTAAAATAAATTTGCAACGATCCATCATTTAACATAACCATAGAAAGAACATTCTTTCTTCCATTCATCGCAGACGCAAGAATATTTTTATTTTTATCGCTTATTCGTGAACCAGTTTTCGTTTCGAAAGAGCGCGGCTAACTCGACGACGACTCTAACATCTCGAGATAACGTATCATTGCACCTTTAAAAGCAGAGCCGTAACCGTGGGTCAAAAGATTCGCATGAGCAGTCAAGCGAGACGCTTTGCGTACGACCTATAGAGAGAGAGAGAGAGAGGGAAAGATACGCCATCTTCAGCTCTACGTCAATTTTAAGACCCGTTTCCAAAGGTATTTTTACGAACGAAGATTGCCAGAGGGGCAATTACGAGGTTCGACAATGACGAGCAAAGCTTTTCAAAGAGTTTACGAGAAATAAGATTTCCGTAAACTTATCCATTTTCTCGATTTTTGCTACAATTTTTTTCGTTTACCTACGCTCGTGAAAGTTTAATAAAGCGGAGAAGTTTCTAAACCCAGGCGGAAAATTTCATTAGGATGATTCTCGAAAGTTTGCGAATTTCGAATCATTACTTTCCAAACTGGCATTCGAGTTATTAATTAAATTGATAATAATAATAATAATACCAACGAGCAACAACGAAAAGAAAAACTACGAATCCTTCGTTTCGTATCTTCCAAGTATCAAATACCCACGTACGAAGACTTTAATAAACAATTTACATGCTTTTCAATCGAACGCGCGCGCGCGCACAAACACAACGCTCCATTCTCCATAGAAAGTCGAAACTCGTTCGAAGATCGAAATCGACTATAATTGGGCGAGAAACAAGATGAGAACGTTTTCCTCCGTGGAGCAAACGCGGTGGCTCGCGCGTCGAACGAAAACCTTAACCACTTTCACCGAACACCGTGAAAACCCGAGCTAGACCAGCCTCCAGTAGACGGTTAATAGCACCGGCTCCACCACCTCCTTCGTGCAAACCTTACCGGAAGATCGGTTCGCCGCTCACTTGACTCACTTTATACCAGTCTCGTGTTGTTCTCGTCTCAAGCGAGTCTCCCGTAGCAAAAACTCCGTCGCTGCCTCGTTCGTCATTTATTTCCGTTTCTGCGGAAGGAAGAAAACAGAGAGAAAGAGAGAGAGAGAGAGGAGGACAAAATCTCGAATAATAATTGATCGAAAGTCGATCGACGACGACTCGACTCGTGGTGGACGAAAGCGAGCGAAATCTTATTAAATTGTAAGGATTTATAATTAATCAAACTGGACACAACTTGGATTGAATTTGGAGGATGCGGTTTGTTCGTTGGAACTGTTCGTTCGGATTCAATTGGATTTAATCGCGAGAAGGAGCGACTTATGGTGAGGATATAACGCGCAAAATCTCTCATGGATCATCGACGAGGATGAAATCTCGTCATCGATAATAAATTAAATCGAAAGTTGATCGTCGACCACGAAAGCTTATTAAATTGTAACGATTCAATTGTCAAACTTGACGCAAACTCGATTGGATTAACTTGGAGAAATTTTTCGAAATCCGTCCGGATTTAATTGGATTCAATCGCGAGAAGGAGCGACTTATGGTGAGGATATAACGCGCAAAATCTCTCATGGATCATCGTACGAGGATAAAATCTCATCGATAATAAATTAAATCGAAAGTTGATCGTCGACGACGAAAGCGAACGAAAGCTTATTAAATTAACGATTCAATTGTCAAACTGGACTCAAACTCGATTGGATTACCTTGGAGGAATTTTTCGAGATTTAATTGGATTCAATCGCGAGAAGGAGCGACTTATGGTGATATAGCGCGCAAAATCTCTCATGGATCATCGTACGAGGATAAAATCTCATCGATAATAAATTAAATCGAAAGTTGATCGTCGACGACGAAAGCGAGCGAAAGCTTATTAAATTAACTATTCAATTGTCAAACTTGACGCAAACTGGACTCAAACTCGATTGGATTACCTTGGAGGAATTTTTCCAGATTTAATTGGATTCAATCGAGAGAAGGAGCGACTTATGGTGCGGATAATCGATATAGCGCGTAAAATCTCTCGATCGTCGAGCAATTCGATCTTCTTCCCGAGCGTCGATTATTTGTTCGATGTTTCGTCACCGTTTGCGGTTTCAGTTCTATCCAGGGTCAAAGGAGACATCGATATTCTCGCCGATTGAATAACAACGTACTATCTCTTCTGTGCAACAATTCGGTATCTCTTCTTTTTTTTTTTAGTGTCGCGAACTGACTCGATCCGTGCGATTTAATGCGCGATTTTTGCTCGAGAGAGAGAAGATCTTCGATTTTCTCGGAAGGAAGGAAAAAAGGAAGGTAATGTTGATGAATCGTTGATGAAAATCGGTGAATGGACGCTCGGTTTTAAAGAAGAGGATTCGTAATTAAATCGTATTTCCGTCTCTCGTGTTTGCGTCATACACGCGAGTTGTCTTCTGCGTGTGTTTTACTAATTAAGGGGACGCCGCATAATCTTTATTGGGGTGAACGAACTCGTCGTAGATCTTGTAGATTCGCTCGTAGTTCTTTTTTCCCTGAAAAAAAAAAGAATTAATCTTAATTAATTCGATGTTAATTAAGTAATTATAAACACAATAATTTCCTCTTAACGAATATTCTAATGATTCCTTTTTCAATTTTATACAATTGAAATTATTATATTATATATGTTCAAGTAAATATTATTAAATATATCTTAATCCTTTATTTCGATAAATAAACAGAAGATGAAACACGGGGAAATAATTGCAAAAGAATCGATGATCCAAAAACGCTGGTTAGAAAACGCTATATAAGGAAAGAAACAATGAAACAATCAAGACACCTGTTCCTAAATTACTCTTTTCCTGGGTGAAGTGGAAGGAGAAATCAGCATTGTGTTACGAATTGATGGAAAGTGGGTGGTCGTACTCGAAAAACTCGACTTTTTATTCCATCCGAAGAAGAAGAAGAAGAAGAAATCATTCGATGAACTTTCTTTTCTTTTTTTCTTGAAAGAAGCAAAGCTTATCGCGCGATATCTTGTGATGCGCGAAGAAACAAACGCAACAACTCGTTCTCTCGACACACGTCCATCCTCTCCAACACACGCGCGCCTTCTCGAATCGATGATTTACACGCTCATCAAATTGTGAAACTTTTCGTTTGCATCGTTCGATGACGTTCGACGAAGAAGAGACTTTGCGAACAAAGCGAAGAGAAAGTGTGCGTGCCGTTATTTTGCATGGATAGACGAGTGTAATCGTCGAAGAAGAAAAGAACGTGGGAAGAATTAGAGCAAATCTTGGAAACATGGGTAGCAGCAACAAGGCGAGGAAACATTACAAAAAGGATTCCAGATTCGTCACGGATCTGTACACATTCACATACGATGACTTCGATCTTGTAAGGTTTAAATGGAACGTGAATACAACGGAATGGCGACAGAGTATTTCCCGTTCTAGTTAATCAAACGGTTGATTACTTTTACTAAGTTGCATGATGAAGCAAGTTTCTCTAAAAGTTAAGAAACGAACCAATAAATTATTGCTCGTTGATGCACGTACCCCCTTACATTTAATTTCCTTAATTTCAATTTATTTATCTGACAGGAAATCTGAAAAAAATATAATAAACGAAACGATTAATTCGTTTCTTAATTTTTGTAATTATAAGTATATCTCAAATAATTAAGAAACAGGATTTCTTTCGATGCTGGAAGATGATAGAAGAACAATGAAGGCATTGTTTCACCGATGCCTGATCGATAAATCGTTCCTTGCAAAGAAGATCAATGGCCGAAAAACTCTTTCAATCAGAAAGGGAATGAGAGGGAGAAGAGGAAAGTGGGTCGAACCGTACAGATGTTAAGGAAACTGATTTTGATAATCGCGCGCCTCAGTCAATCACAATTGCGAGGAAAGGAAAAAAAAGTGTACATTCCGTACACAAGAATTCCATTGAAACTGGATGGGAAGAATGTAACGAATAATTTGTTGAAATTGTTCTTTTCCTTCGTACAAAGAATCGTTCGTTCGTACGTGGAATGCTCTCTTGATAACAACAGTCTCCACAGAATGTCTTCCATATAGATATAGATATTTCCATACAGATATTTTAAGCCAATCCGAACTTAACCTTGACGGTTCGACGAGCTCCTTCCAATTCGCTTGATCGTTTAATCGTTGAATTTGTAGGCGAAGCGTGCGATGAACGGAATATCGAAAGCTTAATAGATCGAGCGCGTGTTTAGAATTGCAAATTAATTAAATTTTTGCAAGCGTAGAATTTCGAAAGCTTCGAAAGATTATTTGTTCGCGACGAAACAGTTTGTAGAAAGATAGATCTCTGTCGCCATTCCCTTGATCACGTGAGTCACGCTTTATTACGCGAATCGACGTATCTAATCGAGCGTATCGAAACCTGGCTTTCGTTTCTGGGGCATCAGGACGACGATAAAGAGATCGCGAAGGAACGGCCAAATTTCGAGGGAACGATCTCGTCGCTCCGGAAGACTGGCGGGACGAAGGAGCCTGAAAGGGAAGATCTTGTCACGCGATTCGATAGAGTGGTGCGGGGAGATCCGGATGAGGCTTTTCAGGTGTGACTTCCGGTTATGATCCTATGGAATTCCAAAGAACTTGGAATCCTTTCCGAGAGGAAATATTAAAACGAGATTTTAGATCGTTTAGATCAATGAATAATTTTTTTCTTTTTTTTTTTTTCTTTCGTCAAGTTGAAAGAAAGAAATTGATTCAAAAGTCTGCTTGCCAAAAGGGAGAGCCAAAATATATACCGATCGTATACTTTTTGCCAAAAGTTTAGTTTCTTGCCAAAATAAAGATTCAATTTTTATTGGCAGGATAAAAGTTTGAGACTTTCTTTTTTTTTTTTTTTATTTTCGAATCCTTGCCAAAAGTATTTTAATATATTTATTTTCGTGAAGATATACCATAACTTGTTCCCGCCCGGAAGAAATTCTATTTCGTAATATTATTTTATTGTTGGTGCAAAATCTATAAAACCAATTTTACGAAAACAACGTAAAGCCAATAGTAAATTTTCCAATTCCAAACACCTCCACAACCACCACACCTTCCTTCATTCCCAATACCATTGTTCTAATCCAATCCATTCTGTTTCGGTTCAAATAATCCAATCACTTTACTCCTCTCTACCTCCATCATATAAGGGGGAGGGGGGCCAATAGAAATTATTGATGAAGAAGAAGAAGAAAAAAAAAAAAAAAGGAGCCAGCAACGATCGAAGCAAGAAATTCCTCGCTCCCCTCGATTAATCAATGGCTCATCATCACCTCAATTACGCAAATACGTAAGATGTCGTCAATCTCATTAATTGTCTCACTCCCACGCGACAGTGTACAGAGTCTACAGTTTTAGGGAGGAGAGGGGCGGGAGTCGGAAGGAAGGGGAAGAAGATTAAAGACATCGAGGGGGTTTCCACCCCCTCCCCCTTCCGTTGGCGTGTAACGAGCGATGATCACACCTCAGATTTCTCTGTCTGTTCACAGCGACGAAACGATCGTGAAGAGATACGAAGGAGGTTGGCCATGGGTCCAGACGCCGAAGACTTGCGCGCTGAACGCGGAAGAAAGCCGAGCCTTCAGTCGCGGCTTCAGAGCGGTCGGTATCACTCCGAATATACCACCACTTTTTCCACGATCATATGCCTCCCTCGTGAATGAAATTTCCATTTCGTCGCTTATCTTTCGAAAAGTGGAGGCGTCGATTTACGAGAGAAAAGTTATCGATCGATAACGTAGTGAAATAAGTTTCATGTTCCGTTTTTCTTGAAGTTTATTCCTGGGTGGAATGAAATTGTAACGAAGCGAGTGAGTGATTTTTAGATTTAGTAAATAGAGAGGGAATATTTCTTTTCTTCGAGGAATCGTTGCTGCTCGATTCGACTCGGTTTCGAATTGAACGGTGATTGCAAATTGTTGTGCAATGTACCATAAAACTTTCGATTATCGAGAGATTGAAACGAACGATGGTCGATCGTTGACTTGTATTCTTATTTTGCTCGTCGCTTTCTTAATCCCTTTTTCATTCGATGGAGCTAATAACGAAATAAATTTGAATCGCTTTTTTTTTTTTGAATCAGTTTCGATTGATGATCGATAGGTTTTTTAATACAATTGCAAAAGGAAATCTTTTTAAATCTTGTTGTTTTCGATTTACCTTTTATCATCATTAACGAAGATCATTCCTTTCTTTCAGGGATGAACCTTCAAATCTGCTTCATGAACGAAACACCCTCGGACACGGAATCCCCGTGTTCGGAGACCGACTCGTCCCCAGGATCCACGCCGACCTCGCTCAACTCGAAGCAACCGCAGAAACAGCAAACGCCGATCAGACCTCAGGTGCTCAGCCTTCCACCTTTGAGGCTGGACACAGGCTCGAATTCAGCCCCGATCGACGAGGCCGATTTCTTCGCCAGACAGGCGAGATTGCAAACCGAGGCACGAATGGCCTTGGCTCAGGCCAAAGAAATGGCCCACATGCAGATGGAAGTGGAGAGGCAAAGGCTGAAACAGAGTCCCATCACCGAGATGGTGCGATCCAGCCTCGAAAAAGTGAGCCATACATCTTCATTCTCTTGTAATTTTTTTTAAATTTTACTTCCCCATCTCCATTTATTTCAAATAACATATAACGATCTTCATCGATTAAACTGTCGAAATTGAAGCAAGAATTCGATTCAGTAAAACGAATATTAAATTTATCTCTCACGAAAAGGGATGAAAATATTTTTTAAAAATTTAAAATCTTTATAAAAGTTGTTCGCATCTCCATTATTTCAAATAATATATACGTGCGTAAAACGATCTTAAGCTCTCGAAATTGAACGAAGAATTCGATTCGAACGTTATTTATTCTATCCTCGCGAAAAGGAAGAGGATGGAAATATTTTTTAAAAATTTAGAATCTTTATGAAAGATCGAAACATATAATTTTTCGCATCTCCATCATTTCAAATAATATATATATGTGCATAAAACGATCTTCACCGATTATTAAACTCTCGAAATTGAAGGAAGAACTCGATTCAATAGGAGGAATAATAATAATTTTTCGCGCGGAAAGGGGGAAGAGAGAGAGAGAGAGAAATATTAAGCTTTATGCTTTCCCCCCAGGTTGGCGTTCAGCTCGGCGAGGATAGGCGCAGATTGTCACGAGTACTTTTAACGGAGCTAAACGTCGCCCAGCTTCAAGTGGTGGCGAACGACTTGCACGCGAGAATCGCAGCTCTGAACGAGGCGCTCGTCGAGGGACTTTTGAGAAGGGACGATTTGCACATGGAACAAGATTCGATGCTCGTCGACGTCGAAGATCTCACCAGATATCTGTAAGTTTTTCGTCTCGCGCGACTTTTAATCTCGTTCTCTCTCTCTCTCTCTCTCTCTCTTTCTTTTTTCTTCTTTTTTTCCTTTCTCTCGCACTTTTATTTCTCGAGCAATCGTGCACAATCTCCTAGAAGCAATTAAGGTTGCTTAAAGAAGAGAAAAAAGAAAAGCATGGCCGTGAAAGGACGCATGGCCTATTTTTCTGAATGCAAAGTGGAACAAGAACCCTTGGGGAAAAAAGGACCAACGCTTTCGCGTACCGAAACCGCATTTCTTCTTTTCCCCTCCCTTCTTTTCGCCTCCTGCACCGTTTTATTTGCGAAATTACCCGTCTTCCTTACCGAAATATATAGCACGATAACTGGTTGGCGTGTTACATCAAAAATTAAGGAGAAAGATTTAAATCCGAGATTAGAGGTGTGAACGTAGGAAATTGTATGATTTAAGAACGTTAAAAAAATTTTTTTCTACTTTTTTCCTTGATTAATCGTTATATCAGTTGGGATCAGTTGTTGAGATAAGTAAATGTTGGCCTCTGTAATTCCAGAGACCAAAAGTTTTAAAAGTTAATTTTAGAAACTTTTAACAGTTTATTACCGTTCTTCGAATACAGCTCTCGATACCTCGATCGATTGCATCTCTTCAACACGTTTCTTTCAAATTTAATTTAACGACATTAAACGCTTTTCGAGCAATCATCAAGTAGCGTGCAAAAGGCTTCTTTAGGGACTAATTTATATAAAAGATCATTTCTCGTTATTTTTTTTTTTTTTTACGTTTATCTAAAATATGTTTATAAATATCGAACAAGACGAATAATATCGTCAAATAATTTGCGAAAATCGATATATTAATTCCTGCATTCCAATTCATTCTAATAAATCCATTCGATTAATCCTAATTTAATTTCGAAATCGGTGGAAATTCGGAGAGAACGTTTCAAGCGATACACGAGAAAATAACAACTTGAGCAAAAGTGTTTCAAATCGTTCGAAATAAATTTACGTAACGTAATAAATCCGAAAGCTCGAAGAAGCTTGTCAATCGCTTGTCCTTCCTCTCACCCGCTTACTCGCGGCCATCCAATTCGCTGTTAACACTGTTAACAACTGTGACTCAACTTAGCTTGTGTATTCTTTTCTTTTTCTCTCTCTCTCTCTCTCTCTCTCTCTCTCTCTCTCTCTTTTTCTCTCTCTTTTCTTAACAATACTAACTAATCTCCCGGGCAAACTATGACAAACGTTATATTTTCCGGCCTGTCGCGCTAATAAACAGCTTCTGCTGCGTTCACATGCACAGAGGTGCCAAGCAGGAGTCGTTGAAGAAGAAGCAGAGCGCGAGGGAGCAGCAGCAGCAGCAGCAGCAGCAGTGCACAGGGAGCAGAAGTCATCAGCAGGCCAACTCGGGTCAGAACAAATCGTCGATCAAGCCAAAGCTGACGCACCGTGGCCTGGTCTCGTTGGTGAGGAAATAATGCCTCGCCACGAGACTGCGTGGTCTCGTCGGAAATTAAGCGGGAAGGTAGCGAACAGCACCGAGAGGACGCGAGCAAGTATATATATTACTTAAGATCTGCTCGATTCGATCTGCCGAACTCTCGCCCCGTGGTCGAGGAATGTCAGATTTATTCGGTCGAATTCGAGTTGAACAATTCGGTTCCGGTATTCTGGGACCCCCTCCCTCTCGAGAGGAAGGGAACGAGATTTATTCGGACGAAAAGAGATTATTATTCCAAAGGAAATGCAAATATCTTGCAAATCTTTCGAGCCAACGGTAAGAGAAAATCGAGTAATCTTCGTCTTGTCTTCGCGTGGGAAAAAAGAAAAGGGAAAAAAAAAAAAAAAAAATGGAGCAATATTCCGCCTCTACTACGGAGCAGATACAATCGTTTTTTCTCCCCCACTTTTAGACGGGGGGTTCAAAAATATACATACATAACGTACACGCAGCGAAGAATCCTCTTTCTTCCTGCTCGGTTGTTCGACAGGGAAGAAGGGGATCTTTTTCCAAAAGTTTTTACAGCTTCGTCGTTATCAAGATGGAAAGTAGAGTAATAATAACGTAAGCGTACGTGTGCTCACGTTCATGTGTATTAGGACATGCGTATTGGTTGTGGAGGATGAGACAAATCGATGGGATTATTATTAAGGAATTATCGAAAGGTTTTGAGATTATCATCACCCGTTCAAAAAGTCGGATATTATAAAAGATTCGTATACGTTCTGAAATTTCTTCTTATCTATATATATATATATATATATATCTATAGTTTCGCCTTTTTTACTGAGCTGTCTTGTAAATAATTTTTACCAACTTCTATCTATTTAAGATCATTGTCTTGCATGAATGTAAAATTCTAAGATCTATTTGTACGAGAGTAAGACTTAGTGTCTTAATACTTATGAACGAGAGTATACGTGTATATAATATTGAGCTGTTCAAGAAGTTCGCGGTACAATTCTTCTTTTTTTTTTTTTTCTTCTAATTCCAAACAATTGGCACAAATTCTAGAATATTTACTCTTTAATAAAAATTTAATTATTCGCCTAAATTCAGTTGTTCCACGAGCTCGTGGACAAATTCCATTCTCTTCTTAATCGAATACACGGCATAACTTTTTTAGTACAAATCGTTAAAAACGTTCTTACGAACATTCTTGAACAAATCGATACATAGCCGAACAAAGTAGCAACAAGCAACAAGTACCCTTACTCGCCCTCCGATATTAGATCCGATGGGGACGAGTGATGCGACAATATCATAGCAACAATCATTTCGCAACGATAACGTTATCCAATTCAGTAACTTTCCAATAGAATCCGGATTATCAATCTGTGTGAATCGTAAAATATTCTCCAATAAATCAATTATTCTTGATCGTTACTCCCTATAGAAAACTTTAGTTTCCAATATACCAAGTTATTAATAATCATTTTCTAATTGTAATAAATAAATAAAATAACAAAAATAAAAAATAACAATCTAATAAGGAAGAGATTCTAATGACTTAGAGGATGAGAAAATCTTTTCATTGATTTTCGACAATTGAATAATTTCAATTAGAAACGCCATCATTGCTCGCCATCGTCGGATCTTGACAATCCCGATCGAGACGAGATGCGATCGATTCGTCTTGTTGTCTATGTAGCCGATAACTCCCCCCTCCCCCCCCTCCCTCCCCCCCCTCCCTCCCTCCTCCCCCCTTCCGCTCTGATTAAATCTTGCGGCCATGCATGCATGTGTTCCCCCGAGTGTATCGCCTTTATATGATAGCATTGTAAACGGTAGGCCAGATCTCTTCTCTATGTTGTAAATAAACGAAGCGGATCAGCAGCGGAAAGACTCGCGAGAGATTCGCGAGTCTTCAAACTGCACGCGTTCTTCCGTCGCCAAGCATACGCAAAAAATGGTTCTTTGTTCTCTCCACAGTCGATGATGTCTCTCTTTCTCTCTCTTTCGACGTCTTCTGATCCTGAAAACAAATCGATCGCTCTAATAATTCTTTATAACCACGATATTTTGACGACGATATAACGAAACGAGATCGTTAACAGTGATTGTGATCTTCGATCTCTGAATTTCATAAAAACGTGATACGATTGAAAGAAAAATCATTATTCAATTGAAATATTTATATATATATATATATATATATATATATATATATACTGTTAAATGAAAGAGATATTGGAAAGAGATTTGAATCGCATGGAAAAAATGATGTACATATAAAAATTTTGAAGATGAAAACATATGAATATAGACAGGGCGTTATAAAGGATTAACGAATAATCGATTCGTACCTGATGGAACGAACAGGAATCACGATGGAACGACGTCGATGCGTGTGATTTTTTTTCAAGTTGATTGGATCCTTGCCTTGGATATACAATCGATTCACCGAAATCCTGTTGAAAAAAAGAAAATCTCCTCCCTTTCGTGCTTGATTGGATTTCGTCCCGTTTCAATCCGTGCATCGATACAAAATAGAATGAAAAATCGATGGAGGGAAGAAAGGAAGAGAAAAATTGATAATAAAAAGTTCAAAAGTTCTTTTGGAGATCGTGGCGCGTTTCGGTGAGCTCGTTGTATCGAAGAGGAAGATTATTCTTCTTTTTGAACTGTGCCGGTTACGATGAAACAGAGAAGAACACAATTGTAAAGTTCAATTTTATTTATATTATCCATATAGTCAATCCATGATCTTTTTTTTTTTTATTTCTTTTAAAAAAGAGAAACGTTAATGAAACGTAATGTGTAATATCGTAAATTTATTATTTCGTAAGTAAAAAAAAAAAAAAAAAAAAAAAAGAGAAAAAAAAAAACATTCAAAACGAGCAATCTTAGTCGAGCGTTTTTCATTCAGTCGAAGGCATATGCATGTACGATACTTACGTGATCTCACAAAGTTGAGAAAAAGGTCAACGATGCAATATGCAGTAGAGAAAGCGAAAGACAATTACGAATGCCGCAAACGAGATTTTTCTTTAGAATCTTATGTATATGTTATGATCGTCACAAAATGCTTAATCCTCGATCGATAGGATCGTAGATGATCTACAAAAATATAAGTTATGTTAATTTTAAAATAAGAGTACTCAGTTTTGATCGATATCGTGTGTTTTATAATTAAAAATTGTTCCCCGTGACGACATTTATCAATATATTTATAGAAATATAGAATTAAATATCCTACGAATTATTTTAGAGATATGTATAACTCAATTGAGGATTAAGAATACGCGTACGAAATTTTCACATTTTCCCTATTCCATTTCCTCTCAAAATATTCACAATATCATCTTCCTTCGTTTCAATTGAAATTCAACTACGTTGAAATAAGTTGAAATAAATTTTTTAAATCGAAAAATATGCACAAATAGAGATTGATAGAAGATATTTCGATGTTACGATACGATTGTTGTTTTCTTTTTTCCTTTCAAGTTAAATTTCGATATAAAAAAAAAAAATATTACGTATAAATATTACGTAATATTCCTCTTTTATTGCAATATAGGATGATAACGATGAAAATACTATATTTATATTTTAGTAATAATCAATCGAAAGCATGTTTGTAATTGTGTAATCGTGACTTTATTCGTCTTCGAATTATTTAAGATCGTTAGATTTTTAGATATTCAATTGCACGTGAAAAAAAGATGAAATAATTCTTGTTCCGCCCTTTGTAAATTTATTAATATCAAGTCGCACACGACGAAAGAGAACGAAGAACGCGTTACATATCTCTTAAGGATTAAAAAAAAAAAGAAAAAAAAAAAAAAATAAAAAATAAAACAAGACAAAATAAAACGATTTAGTCCACTAACTAGCCATAAAGTTTAATCGAACAGAAACGAAGGACTGAGTTTGATATTTAAAAAAAAAAAAAAAAAAAAAAAAAGAAATAAATAAAACTCCGTTTTCGACCGCCCGTTGAAACAACTTTAGACTTAGCGAAAGCGTAATCAAAAGTATGTTAATCGTGTACTTGAAACGGATTATCCGAGTTTTCCATAAAACTATTCACGTACTGATTTACATGTATTCATACGTAAAAATCTATCCTAAGTAAGTTTATTAAAAAGGACACACATTGTGTATCATCTATCGAATTTCGAAGTTTCTTGATTTCGTACTTACGCTACCCCTTGCGTGAATTACTTAAGAGAGATGCGAAAAATTATTATAAACGAAAAAAATAAACGTCAAAACGTTTGATCTCTGAGAAACACACGCGGCATTATTCATCCCTTTGGAGCGAAAAAAGAAAAAGAAAGATATGAAAATTTCGAATAAATTTTCCCAATTTAAAGAAAATTGTCTTTTTTTTTTTTTAATTTGTTTTAAATTTCTATCAATTTCTTTTTTAATTTTCTAAATTTCTATGATTCTTACTACAATATCTTAGAAAATAAAAAATCATATGTCATTTTCTAAAATATTAGTAATAATAATTATTCATAGAGAAGAAAAAGAAAGAAAATTTTTCGGTTTGAAAGCTTATTATAAAATTTAATATCACATTTCAAACAATATTTCATGAAACTTTAAAATGTAGATAAAGACAAATGTGCGATCTGTTATTAAAATAGAAATATCAAAATATTTCTCTCGTTTACATCGCAATTATTCGCGAAAGTAAAATTTCTAATGATCTAAAAATTTTGAGATGAGGTACATTTACTTTAACGAAGAATAAAAAAAAAGAAAAAAGATGATTATATTCTCAATTTTGAGGGATAATTAAAAAGGTCATCGACATGTTTACGACGTGCAAAAAGATATTTCATTAATTCGAGACATCACCTCGTTTCATCGACATACTATCGAGTTAGCATGAGCCACAGCAATTAACCATCGATCGTTCTAGTTAAAAATTGAATATTCATTACGAAATTAAAAATAGAATTAAAAAAAATCTAAAAGTTCAACAAAAACATAAGCAAACATAAAAGTATTTTCATGCACTATTTCACGAAAATGATATAAAGAAATTTTTCATTTACATAAATAACATAAATTTTTTAAATTCATTTGTGCATAAAAAAAAAGATGAATTAAGTTGTAAAATGTTTTATCTCAAATTTGATTACAAGCAACATAAAATCGTGTAGATTCGACATATAGAAAAATGTATATCGAAATAATTTTTTGTACTATACAAATCGATTATATATACATATAACATATATAATATACAATATATATTATATATATATAAACTAACGGAAAAAAAGAAAATATGAAATACAGAAAAAAATTTCAGGTAAAACAAAGTATTCGCTATAGATCGTAAAATGTACGATGTAACACTAACAATAAAAATATTTAATCAAAATCATCATTTAGAAACTTCTGTATGTTTCTAATGATCTAAAAATTTTTGAGATGAGGTACATTTACTTTAACGAAGAATAAAAAAAAAAAAGAAATAGGGAAAAAATGGCAATTTCGATCTATTTTGTATGCCATCTCTTACCTTTCATTATTATAAATTACTACTACGATCGAATAAAATTATCAGTCAAGACATCTAAGAAAGAACAAATCGTTGGACAGAAGAGATCAAATATATCTTTGAAAGATCTAATCTATCCGACGATGAGATCAAGTTCATCGTTCGGCGATGGTGGAAAACGTCTACATAGACTCGCGTATTATCTACAAAATACTTTAATCATAATATTAATTAATAATATACAGATTGTAAATAACTAAACAATAATAAAATATGCTGTAACAAATTCATTCACTTTTTGCTTCTCTGTCTATCTCTATTTCTCTCTCTCATTTACTCACTCATTCTCTCACTCTGTCTCTCACTCAATCACACAGTTGCTCACTCTCATAACTCACATTATTTTTATTATTTTATTCACTCCATCGTAAAGAAAAGATCCGACGGGGAGCCGGAACAGGGAAGAAGGCACAGGACACATCAATTAAAAAAGTGGCATTCCTCTTTTGATAATCATTTCCAATGTACATCTAGCTTTTTCATAGCTAATAAATCAATGATTGATATCATATACGTATTAAATTTTCTTTAACTTTTGGAATCTCAAAAACCAAAGGGAAATAGAATATGAAAGGAAAAGAAAAAAAAAATAGGAAAAGAAAGAAGAAAAAAGGCGAAAAAGAAAAAAGAGCACCATTTAAAAAGATGTCTCATACGGAAACACATAGCAACGAGAGGAGCTAACAAATTATATAAAACAGCCGACGAGAAATTACATTTTCCACTCGTCCTAGAACAACGTGACGAACATACTATATACGTTGCTTAGATACTGTGGAAAGAACACAAGCGGCGATGATGATTTTTTAATAATAATAATTAATAATTAATAATAATAATGATAATAATAATTAATAATAATAATAATAATAATAATAATAATAATAATAATAATAATAATGATAATGATAATAATAATAGTAGTAGTAATAGTAATAGCAGTAGCAGTAGCAACAGTAATAGTAGTAATAGTAATAGTAATAGTAGTGGTAGTAGTAATAGTAATAGTAGCAGTAGTAGTACTAATAGCAGTAGTAGTAGTAATATTAGTAATAGTAGTACTAGCAATAGTAGTAATAGCAATAGTAGAAGTAATAGTAGCAGTAGTAGTAATAATAGCAATAGCAATAGCAGCAATAGTAGTAGTAATAGTAGTAGTAGTAGTAGTAGTAGTAATAGTAGTAATAGTAGTAGTAGTAGTAGTAGTAGTAGTAGTAATAGTAATAAAAATAATAATAAAAATAATAATAATAGTAATAATAATAATAATAATAATAATATTTCATTAGCTCGTTATAGAGTTTCTCCTTTTTTCTTCACCTTGTATACCTATCACTTTTCATGTGAATTTTTTTCACTCGACACCGACTTTTGAAACATTGTTTCTAAGCCTCTCTTGATTATACACACGATTCTGCGGTTTTTTAGATTTTTCCTTTCGTCGATCCTTCCAGCAACCTATAGTGAATATATCATATATCATATTAAAAAATTCTTATGTTACAACTGTAAATATTAAATATCTCTACTATACAATGAAGCTCGTTCATGGCGCTGTTCCTTAATAATTTACCGTTGTGCTCAATCTAGAATTTATATCCTTTTTCCTCTTCGTCTCGCAATTTCATTTTGTTACTTTTTTTTTTGTTTAATCACAATCTGCATATATATTCTAACTAATACATGGCAGCGATAACAAAGATTCACGAAATATGTAAAGCGCCTATTGGATCTTTGAATGTTTTGAAAATCTTCGAAAATATGAATTAAAGATTTAAAATACAAATTTTCCATTGATAAATATAAAAATAAGAAAACAAAATAAAAATTGAAAAATCTGGAAGGTTCGAAGGTCCTAAAAATATATTTGTGTTAATGATTTAAAAATTTAAGATACTCTAACGTTATCATGAATTTCAAAATTCGAAAGATGTATCATTTCTTATGATAATTTCGTGATAAAAAATGTTCAATATTCAGTATTCTACATTTACTATCGACATTATTTATCGATGCATTCTCATGCTAAAAAAAAAAGCTTGACAGCTATTCTAATCAACTGGATACAACGCACGAGTCCTTTTTCTTCTGCATGAGTCAAATCTTCTTTTCTTCTTAACATAATAGTCATTAAATATTTTTAATCTCATAGAAATAATAATACTATCGATGTGGCGCAGTAAATACACAAAAATATTACCAAGTTCTTAAAATGCGCGTTTTAAATAAAGGAACAGAACAAATTATACACGTATATCGCACAAATAACGATTTCTCTTCGCGAAAGCGT